CCGGTAAGCCTGATGCCCCACCACAAACCTAACCAGTTCCTGAACCCCAGATGAATAGGGAAGTGCCAATACGTGTCCCAGAGGTCCAGACACTATACAAGAACCCGGCTCCAAGAGACGCCAGTCCTGGGACAGAGTGATCATCCAAAAGGAGTGGCAAGAAATCCAGGGGTTCAGACAGGACAAGTCTGCACAGTCCCATTTCGGAACTGGAAACAGATGGGAAACCCACAAGAGGAATGAGGTCATTTCGACCACGCCCGAGTGAACCTACTCTAGGATAACCCGACGAAGTGAAGGGGAAGAAGCATGCCCACCAGCCCAGAGCACCCCAAAGGGAAAGGAGCCACCCAACGCCACCTCAGGCCATAGGACACGACCTGAAATGTCCCCAAATCGAGGGACCAAGAGTGGGCAAACAGAGCCAGACCCTCAGCCCCCAATGTCCTATCAACGGGGCAACCCACGAAAGGGCCGGCAACCCCACCGAGAACTTGACTTGCGCTCAGAGCGAGCACTGCGCCGACGAGATGAAGACGGATCAGGAGCAGGCGCCGGCTCAGAAACTGGCTCCTAAGGTCCACCTCGACCAACAGATACCTGAACCTTGGCATGACCCTTCTGGGAAGCACATGAACGTGCAACCCGGACAATCAACATAACCGAAAGAGGGGGCACAACTAGTGGAAGCCGAATGAAGAAATTGAGTCACAACTGAGATTGTGATTGACTGATGAACTACACCAACAAGGGAAGGACAAAGAGGAGCAGAATGAACCAAGGTCGAACTGACCAAGTCCCCAAAGTCCGGGTCCCTAAAACCAAAACAGGGCAGCCCCAGGGCATTTGAGCAGGCGACCAACCGAGCACGCTGCAGCAACCTAAACCTGGCATGCAACACGCAAGCCGCTTGATACCTAACCTCTGCCGTAGCAGAATGGATAAATTTGGAGCACGAGCGGAGAATAAGTCTCACAAGACTCTGGGTCAACCGTGTCATTGACTCCCACAAAGCAAGAAGGGGCTCAGAGGACATGACCATAAGTCAACCTAAGCCCCAATGGGGGTTTTCAGGGCCTGCAGGGAGATGTATCCCTATGGGAAGCCTAGGCACTGGAGCTGCCGAAGCCGGTTGTAACCCCATATGTATCTGGGCAAACTGGCCCCTATGAGGTGACCAACCTCGTAGGCCTAGAAAAGGACTGCCCTGTTGGAAATAACCAACAGTTTTCATACATCCTTTGTATTTTTATACAACAATTTTTGTATTAACCACAAGTTGTTACTAAAATTGACTAACTTGTAAAATTAACCATATTCATGATTTTATAAAGCACAATATTCTGCCAAATCCTTCCTACTGCGTGTTTCGATAAGCAGCCACAGGAATATTTCCATATATTGTTGGATTTAAACAGAGTCCAGTTTATTACTCCCTTTATTAACCCCTTCACTGCATACCTGATATTGGCAAAAACTTCATAGTGCAATTGTTAAGACACATTTTTGTTGTTTTTATAAGTGTTCAAGTATAGTTAATATCAAAATGTTTCCAAACTCAACTATTTTAATTTCAAAACACAAAGTGATAAAAACATTTAAAAAAACATTAAAATATAGCCTAATTTAAAAAAAAAACGGGCAACTCTCAAAACAGCATTTGTCATTTTGTGCAGTGCAGTAATTACCTAAGTGTAGTTACAGGATGAGAGCTACGCTCGTGGTGTTCCCTCTTCCCAGTACTCTTTGTCATATAACGCTTTGAAACTACTGACGGTCTTGGCCTCCACCACCTTCTCCCCTAACGTGTTCCAACCGTCTACCACTCTGTTTGCGAAAGTGAATTTTCTTATATTTCTTCGGCATCTGTGTTTAGCTAGTTTATATCTGTGACCTCTTGTTCTTAAAGTTCCAGGTCTCAGGAAATCTTCCCTATCGATTTCATCAATTCCTGTTACTATTTTGTATGTAGTGATCATATCACCTCTTTTTCTTCTGTCTTCTAGTTTTGGCATATTTAATGCCTCTAATCTCTCCTCGTAGCTCTTGCCCTTCAGTTCTGGGGAATCACTTAGTATCATGTCTTTGCACCTTTTCCAGTTTGTTGATGTGCTTCTTAAGATATGGGTACCACACCCATATTATCACCCATACAGTGGTTAAGGATAATTGCTTACTAACAAGTTTATTTATGTAGCACATTACTGCTTACTGAAACTCGCTTATTTAGTTAAAATTAAACACTCCAATGGAAATTATTAAAAGGGTAAAATAATTCCCTCTTATATTCCTCTCATTTGTTTATGCAACTTTAATAAACTGACTTATGTTGCGAAAGGTTATATTACAAAATGAAAAATTTAATTGTGACAGATAGTCACAACCTCTTCCTTTCCTAATTAACTTTGAAATATAAATTAATTTACGCTCGAGGTACCTACCGAGAGCCGCGCATGCGCAATCGGGGAAAGGAAGGAGACTTGACGCCATTACCAGCGTACAAAGAATTATTGTGTTGCAGAGCTCCCACTAAACGACTCAGATTTACGTCACCCTTGCATCAGCGGGTGCCAGAGTTCGCGGAGGTCTTCATCTGCATTCAACACAAGTTCCGGCGAGCATAATTTCTTTATTGTCCTACTGATATTTGTTAAAAAGTGCACTTTATTAAAAAAATTTATGTAGGCTGCTCGTACGTTAAGCCACGCGATAACAACATATCACATGTTAGTTTCATTTAATTCTAGGTTTCCACTTTCAATCAGAAATACTGGCATATTAATTCTAGCCTAGACAACTTGTACATTTAACCTTGTTTTCAGCTGGAGTATTAGCGGGGAGAGGAGAAGAATAATGTATCATTCCATGTGCAGGCCTGGACAGCGTGTTGCAACAAGTGCGCCCTCGTGACCGCCCAAAATATTTTACTATCAAATCCACGAAACAGCTAAGCTGAACTTACATTTATAGTACTGTAGTATTTTTGTAGAGTACTAACAGTTAAACACATGAATAATTTCTATTGAAATTGTCATTTATTATCCTTCATGTTTGACTTATATTATTTACTAATCCCATTTCATATCTTGAGTCTATGATTATATACTTATATACTATAATATGAGTTTACATTTACATTTCTTTCTAACAAAAGAACCAGCGTTATATTATTGGTGCTAGGACGTGTTTGTATCTTAGCGCTCGTACCCTCCAATTTGTGAAAGATAATTTGACTCCTATTTCATTATAAATTACAGGCTCATTAAGATCCATAGGACACTAGTTCTTGGTAGCAATATCAAACTTTTGATACTTATATCAATATCAAACTCATTTTTGTTTTCCACTTTTTCTCAAAAGGTGGTGGTCCTTCGTAGCTATGAAAGTTTTTAATTATTAAAATCTATATTGGTTCTCAGAGCCCAAGCATTTGAATATTGGAGTCAGATTTTCCCACATGCCCTACTAACCTAGGGATCACCTAATAGGAACCCTGCAAGCCTCCCAATGGGCAAAGTAAACTTAAAGTAGGAAAGAGAACCCAGAGGAAGAACCATAACCCCAGGGGACCAGAAAGAGGCCCGGCTGCTGCAATTATGCCAGCTGGGTAGCACAGTGCACCCCAACCAGGAACAAACCACTCCCTACCCATGGCCAAACAAAAGTACCGAGGCCTAAGCTGACCCCAAGGGCGAGACAGAGGCTAAGCAGCCGCTGCCCCTACGGGAATGGGGACCTCAAAGACCCAGAGAAGGTAACTCTGAACCCCAAGGGGTGTACTCACATGACGCTAAGGCAAGGGACTCCTAAGCGCCTGCAGCCATTGGTATGAACTCCTGGGCCACCTCTAACGCACAGCAGGAACACCAGCAGGGTGAAGCCAATCAGGCAACCAAGACCAGAGCAGACTTCCAACCCGTTTAGTTTCAGCCAACAAACTGACGGCCTGGCTGCTGGCTTGGTGGTTTCTATCCCTTCTGGCTGATGAGGTTATCTTGAGGTTATCTCGAGATGATTTTGGGGCTTAGCGTACTCACGGCCCGGTCCTCGACCAGGCCTCTTTTTTTTTTTTTTTTTTTGCTACATACCTCCAGGAAGCAGTCCCATAGCAACTGTATAACTCCCAGGTACCTATTTACTGCTAGGTAACAGGGGCACCAGAGTGAAAGAAACTCTGCCCATTTGTTTTCGCCTCCACCGGGGATCGAACCCGGAACCTCAGGACTACGAATCGGAAGCGCTGTCCACTTAGCTGTCAGGGCCCCCTGAGGCGGCGGGGTTGCTGGGGGGAGAGGGAAGGTTGGGTGGGAGGGGGCTCCCCCACAGAAAACCAGCATCGAATGTAATGAAACTCCATTTTCTAGGGTGAGCCCCAGAGGCTCCTTGGCACTCTCCCTTTTCCCAGTTGGCGAATTTTGTTTCCGTTTTTCAGTTTCCAAACTGATGGTCCAGCTGCCGGCACAGTGGGCTTGGACCCCCTCTTCCCCTCCCAGGAAGGTTGGCCCGAACAAGCGGTGCGCGGTGTGATGACGTGTTGCTTGTTAGCTTGTTTTTCTTTGTGAGAGTTTCTAGCCTTTGTTCGGTCTCAGGTTGCAATTTCTACCAGGAGGGGTCTGTTTTGGAGCGCCTACCTTTCTAGGTGCTCAACCCTGGTCGATAGCAGACATGAATACTTTCCTACATGAGAGTGTCATAGACCATTGCTCCCTGCGCCTCTCAGAGGGGACCGTGTTCTGGTTAGTGGTCCCAAGTAAGCATGACAACTCCATATGACTGAAGCCTCGTACTAATATTAGCTAATATCAGTTCAATAGCTCCAGGAAGCCGACGAGGCTTCCCCACAGAAAAGTCAGATCCCTGGCCAGGTTGTGGGAGTAGAACTCCCACAGTTACAGATAAATCATAGGTAAACCCACAGGTAATTATTTTTGGAGAGTTGTCAACAAGAGAATTATATGAACAACATATTTAAAGGCAAAATAACTTAAATAATTATTTACCGAGCGACTGCGACCCTTCTTCTTTTTGCTTTTCTTTTTGCGAGACCTGCGACGTTCATCATCGGAATCATCGGAATAACTTTTGGAGCGGGAACGTGAACGCCGCGATCTACGCTTGTGGTGACCATCATCACTGTCAGACTGTAAGTAAAGACCAAAATATTATCAATTAACCTAGTACAGTGCAATTAAAAAAAATGCAGTATACTCATTCACATACAGTATACATAAGATACGAGATGACTGAGTAGGCATAATGCTGCCCAAAATGTCATTCACCTATATTTAAACTTAGTTTCATAATAGTGAATTATAGTTAATCTATCTGACCCCACTCACAGAGTTTTTCATTATATACAAATTATGAATATATCTAGCAAGAACATAGCCAGCAAATTTTCTACCAAATTGTCATTGGATATGAATACCTCCTCTTCTGCCATTCAAAAACTACACAAATAACTTGCTGTAATTCAAACTGAGGCAAGGCTGGGTGTAAAACATGGCTACAGAGTTAAAGTGTAACAATTACAAATACATAATTACCGAGTAAGAGTGGGAACGTGATCGAGACTTTTTCCTATCTTTTTTCTTGCTTTTCTTTTTGTTGCGAGAGTGATGATGACCACACGCCTCCTCCAGGTGCTGTTGATATTCCTAACAAAAAAAAAAAAAAAAAAATCAAGCTTAGGGAAAGTATACAGTACTAGTTATTATACTTGTAATTACATTTTAAGTGTACAATGTGAAAATATTAGTAGACTATCTTGAGGTTATCTTGAGATGATTTCGGGGCTTTAGTGTCCCCACGGCCCGGTCCTCGACCAGGCCTCCACCCCCAAGAAGCAGCCCGTGACAGCTGACTAACACCCAGGTACCTATTTTACTGCTATGTAACAGGGGCATAGGGTGAAACTCTGCCCATTGTTTCTCGCAGGCGCCCGGGATCGAACCCAGGACCACAGGATCACAAGTCCACCGTGCTGTCCGATCGGTCGACCAGCTCCCTGGGGAGCCGGTCGACTAGGGGAGAGAGTCACAATAAAATTAAGGCCAACAATTATGTTCAAGTGTGCCACTAAGAACTAATGTGCCACTCAGAAGGGTAACAGCATAACACAGCAAAAATGACAAAGGTATGTAAAGGGAAGAATTTTTTCAAGCTATAAAAATAAGAAAATTATGTTTCTGCTCAGGAAAATCAAAGCTAACATATGTAGAGTATACACAGTATACAGAAAATATAGTTCATTATATATACACAATGTGTACTGTATACTGAAATCTAAACTATGAATATGGCTACATGAAAAGCACCCAGCAGTGAATGTAATCAATTGCCTCTTTCTGGTGGGTCCTCAGTGGCTTTGTTGCAAACAACCTGGACAGTTCCTAACAATTCTATCACACCAGGCTATATTTGGCCTCTGTGCCAAAACCAGGCCTACTACAGAGGCAGGGAATGAAGGATGCTAGATCACCGAGACAAGTAAGACCATCAGCAGGGAAGAGTGAAACAAAATAGACAAAAGCAAGGTAGATGAAAAACCTACATTGAATGTAATAAAACTTCCCTTTCCAGATATACCCTGGTGGCCCCCTGAAGCCATCACACTGAGATGGTTCTCATGTACTGTACTAGGTCACATCAACTGCAGAAGAGCCCTGTTTCATGAGGTTCTGACAAGAACCATAACCTTACCCACTCACAGGAGGAGAGAAAGCAGGTTAATTAAACTCTGCCATTAACACTTCCTAGTGCGCGCGGCACTCGTGACAAAAAAAAAAGCAGAGACTTTAACCTTGTGCGCGGCGGCGCCTTTCTGGGCGCTCAAGCGTAAACACAAAAAAGTGTATAATCTTTTCACGCTCCTAACATCAATTCTCGAGCTACGTTTTTCATTTTGGTATCAATGCGTTGGCAATAAAATTCTCTACAAGATCATATGCATAAAATGTCACCAAAGCATTTGCTATCCCACCACGAAGTAAATAAACACGAAGATGACTCGCCGTGACACCCAAACAGGAAGTAAATGTTCATACTCTTTCGTTTGTTGCCAGCCTCACAGTCATCCTACAGCGCTTATTTTGATATCACTGAACTCGCAATAAAATTCCCCACCCAGACATATGCCTATCAATGTCTAATTATGTTCCGCACGAGTGTGGGAACTGGGCGAAGCGTTAGCCGTGATTTCAGCAGCGACGACACTGTTGTGATGCAGCGCTTTGAAAGTTTATACTTATTTCACTGTCCTGACATTATTTCTCGAGCTACGTATTTCATTTTTATAGCAATGTGTTCGCAATAGAAAGTTTTATATATAACAATAGAAAGTTCTATAAGAACATGGGTAGAATTGGCCAACAGAGCGTCAAATAAATTTGCGGCGAATAAAATCTTACACGTGTTTGTACCCGTGAGCGTAAAAAGTTTTTACTTTGCTCATGTTTTTTCAAGTTTATACTTGTTTCACACCGTTTTTTTTTGTTTGTATAGTGTTCGGAATAAAATTCTCTACACAGACATATGCATATAAATGTAGAATCATGATCGCGGCCAACACAAGAGTGTGTGGAGTGCGCGATTACCCTCGTTGTGTCACCAACTCAATAGTCTCTCCTCTAAGTTACAATACATTGCCGTTTTCTCAAATAGGCACTGTGCCTATTAGAGAAAACAAAAATTTAATGGCAAACATATTCATACAAACCCCAAGTCGATCGAGTAGTAAATACCCACTATAACACGGTCCGTCCGTAAATTTACGTCGTGATCCGACAAGCGCTTATGGCTAAACCGCCCGTAATTCCAAGTGACTAGAACCACTGTGTTCACAGACGAAAGTGTTAAGATAGGAAAGGGGATGTACACACCAGCATATCACATTTGTTAGTATATCATAAGATTCAAAACTCGTGCATTTAAGGTTGGGTAGCAGATGGAGGCCTCAGACCACCACTAAGTCTCTACCATTTTGTAAAAATTCCCAGCATGCACCACAGCCGCCTTGAGGCTCAGTTTCGAGTCAGCAACCATAGCAAATGCAACTTGATCATGGTCTCCCATGGGTTGCATTGATCAAAAACCAGTCTGAAAATTAAATTCAAGACATACTATTTAATGTGGACCATATTAGTGATACTGACGATTAAAACCCCAATAAACACCAAACACAACTATCAGAGTGATACTGACATTGAAGACGAGGATAAAAGGGAGAGTGAACAGTACACAGACCTTGCCTGCCCTGTTGCGTTATCCCAGGTCAACATCCCTGCCATAATCACCACTATCTGTGCCATCTGCTGTTTCGGAACAGCATGATAACGTAGAAGACGTAGTCTTTTCTGGTCTTAGTGACAATGGTTCTGATACAAGTAGCATAGATGAACAGTGTGTTAGCAGCTCTTGTGGTGGTACAATCTTATGGAAGATTGTGACAATTTTACACCAGAAATACCAACTTTCGATGCTATGGCTATTGGTGTTAGAGATCGTATACTGATTGATGACAATATGAGGTAAGGTAATTATCAGCAGAAAGCATAAGGCCATTATGACTATACAACACATGAAGGGATGATGATAACTTGGGATAGGATGAAGGAAAGGAATGGTGTCCGACCACGTGGTTGGTCAGGGATTGAATGCCGACCTGCAAGAAGCAAGACCGGCGCTCCACTATCGATTGGTTGGGTGGTGACAATTTGAGTGAAAGTGAATATTTATAGCTTATTTTGATTGAGCAATTAAGGCTGCTTATTTTGATGAGCCGTACATGAAACATCTCGACAAAACGAACTGCTACACAGAGCAACTTATTACATCTAGCTTATTACCAGCTTCACGTACAGCATGTTACATTGGAAAGAGACAACTGTGGCTGAAATGTATGTTTCTTGCACTGTGTATGATAATGAAACATGCTGTGAAACACATCTTACAGGATTATTGGAACAAAGACAATGTTGTTTCAACCCCAGATTTTTATAAGTACATGTCACAAGACAAGTTTCTGCTGCTTCTAAGGTACCTACACTTTGAAAACAATGCTAATGTGGATCAAAATGATAAGACTGTGGAAAGTGAGAAAAGTGTTCAGTGATATGAGAGGAAATTTCTGAGACTTGTTTGTACCAGTCCAGAATGTAGGGAATGACGAGTCACTCGTACTTTTCAAGGGACGTCTTACTTTATATAGTATATCCCATTGAAACTGCACAGGTTTGGACTAAAATTCTTTGTGTTGTGTGATTGTGAAACCAGGAGAGAGATCTATTTGATATTTAATTCTGGTACAGATGTAGATATACCTGCTCAAGATCCTCACGGGTTTTCTGGCTATGTGGTCAAGACCTCATGAAACCACTGGTTAACAAGGGATACATTCTGTAAATTGACAATTATTATACAAGCCCCTTGCTAACTATGTTCCTGCATATTAACTGAGAAAAAGCACAACGAATTTATCAGTGTGCTGGAAAGATAGATGTGAAGTGCATATATGTTGTCAACTATTTACACTGGTGAAATAGTAACGAGTGGCAAAGTGAAATTTGCAACACAAGGAAAACTGTATAAACCAGATAGTGTCATGGACTATAATAAAAACATTATAGTCCATGACAGTATAGAGTATGACAGATAAATGTGACATGATGGTTGGTGCTGTCGAGTGTGCTCGAAAAAGTAAAATGGCCCAAGAAATAGTTTTTCACCTTGTGGACCTAACAGTGCTGAACTGTTATAACATGTATTTCATGAAATCAGGCAAGAAATTGCCAATCCATAATTTTAGTCTTGCTCTTTTGTTACTTGTGAAGTTTGGCCATGAACGCAGTGTTGTGACGAAGGTTTATGTGCCAACAATGCTTCACACTCCTCCCAACAAACTGGCTTGCAAAGATGCTCTTGCGCTACACATGATTAGTTACATACCAAGTAAAGGAAAATTTACAAAAGATGTGCATGAATGCGTTGTTTGCAAGCACACAGAACGAAGAGATAAGTGAAAATCTGCTAGTTTGCCTTACCTCCATCCCCCCTCATTTGGAGGGGGGAGGGAGGCATACTGGATCAGGTGGCCCGCCCCACCTTCAGCTCTTGATCGATGCATGCTGTTGTCGCCACGTCGCTCTGGCTCCACTCTCTCATTATTCGAGTGGTGTTTTGCCTTTGAAGCTGGCTTTTACACAAGTGTTTTGCATAAGCCAGGGGTTTAGTGTATGTAGAGCTACATGAGCTCAGGGTTTTCTTACCTGTGCATTCTCTTTACTACTACCCTTCCGCGGTCAGGGCTGGCTTTCTTGGGGCATTCGGGATACACTACCTTCAGGAGGCCTCCTCGCTTGGGGTGGTCCTCATCTTTAAGGTAAGCTGGTGGTCTGTGTTTGTCTGTCTTCCTTGGGGTTGGGCGTCTTTTTTTCTAGTGGGATGCCCTGGGAGTTGCATGACTAGTTATTCAATTAACACATAGGCACGCTGACATTCTCCTTGGTTGGTTGTTCACTGCAGTTTGATCTTGGAGGCATGGGGTTTTTTGAGGTTTAGTTTCATTTTTGCCTTGCCCATTCTCTGCTTGGGGGTTCTGCCTTTTGCCTTATTAGGCATGCCTAGGGTGTATGCGGCTGAACCCCTTTGCTGCCCCCCTTTAGCGATTTGACTTCGGGTAGCCAGGGTTGCTCGTTATCAGCAGGGGTTAACAGCATAGCATTCCCAGTGCTTGGGCTTCCTGCAGGGCTCATTCACCCTGCAGGCTCTGGAAATCCCCTACGAGCTCAGATGTACTATGGATAACTCTACTGATCTCACCCTCACCTTGTGCAATTCTGAGGGTTGTACATCACCTGTGCCATCTATTGACGTTCACACGTTCTGCCACCGCCATGCTGCTTGTTGGGTCGATGACACCTAAGACCCTGAGTCATGTGGGACTTGTTCTCCCCATGTGCTCCAGCTTACCCACTCCTCACTTGAAGTTCAAGAGGTTTCTCTGAAATCCCACCTTTTCTGTAGGTTTTTGCCAATGTATCGTGGGCTGATATTTGGGTGTAGAATTTTTGGAGGTCAAATAGGGTATTGGCGGCCAAGTATCTCATGAACGTTCCCAGTTCTTAATGGCCTTGTGTAGCCCTGGGTCGTGTGTTGAGGCCGTTTGTCTCTTCTATGTGCTGATACATGTGGTCCTTCCTCCTCCCTGGTAAGTGCCCTTCCTTTTTATTATGTGGGTAGTTAGCTTCAGGGAGCCACAAGGGGCTTCCTCCAGAAAACCAGTGTTGAATGTGATGAATAAGCAATTTCTGGGTAAGCGCCGGTGGCTCCCTGACACCCTCCCTCTCCCAGGGCACCGGGGTGGTTTCCACTATAAAAACTGGTGGTGAAGAAGCCAGCTGACCCAGTCTGCCTCACTATTCTCCCAAACAATAGGTGGAGCAAACTAGCTGGTGCTAGTTTCGTGAATATTTGATAGTTTGTTTACAGAGGGGGGGAGTTCTTTTGGCTGTTTTTGAGGCTGCGGTATAATTTTCTAACCAAGCAGTTGTTTGTTTCATATTGCTGACTTTCTGGCTGCTTTTCCTTGGTGGTGGCTGACATGAATAAATTTAAAAATAAATTTTTCATAGAGCAACTGCTCCCTGAGCCTCTCTGAAGGGGGCTAGGTTCTGGCTCATGGTCCCCGGTAAGTCAATAAGAACTTCGCAACTGATGGCACCATTTATTCTGGAACTATATCAGTATAATAGCTTCGGGGAACCACAAGGGGCTCTTCCCACAAATGTATTATTTTGGAGAAAAACAAAAATTATGGAAATTACTTATTTGATGAACAGAAAAGTCATATTTCTACTACACATCTGTTTAGTCAGTATTTTATACAGAGTAAACTGAATTTTGGAGAGAAAACTGGTGAGGAAATTTTATCCACTGTGTAGAGGAATGTGTTATATATCTGTTATAATGAGAACATAAATTTTTAATTGTTCAATTGGCACATACTAGCAAAAGAATTTACTAGTTAAATAAAATAAAATAAAAAATTGACATTAAAACTCGCCTTGAAAATCCTGATGCGCTCTGCCTCAATAGTAACAGCAGTGAATGATGAGAGATGCTGCACCCGAGGACGCACATCTTCCCAAGTAGAGCCGGAGTCAACGCCAATTGATTTAAATGCTGCCCGTAAACCTGCTTCCAAACGACGCATCTTACGAGCCTCCTCCTTCTGCCTCTCCTTTTCCCTTGCTTCTGCCTGAAACAGAGTTTTTTTTTAATGTAACCACTGTGTGTGTGTGTGTGTGTGTGTGTGTGTGTGTGTGTGTGTGTGTGTGTGTGTGTGTGTGTGTGTGTGTGTGAGAGAGAGAGAGAAGGCTGTTAAAAGTGAATGAGGATAAAAGTAAAGTTTTGGCAAAATAGGGGAAAAAAATTCTTTGTAATACAGTATAAATAATAATAGTGAAGTGTTAATGGTAAAATGTTAATGGTGAGGTGCTAATGACAATGTGTAAAGGGTGAAGTATTAATGGTTGTAATGAAGTAATTACCCAAGTGTAGTTACAGAATGAGAGCTAAACACGTGGTGTCTCATCTTCCCAGTACTCTGACGTATAACGTTTTGAAACTACTGACAGTTTTGACCTCCACCACCTTCTTCTCACTTAACTTGTTCCAACCGTCTACCACTCTGTTTGTAAAAGAAAACTTTCTAATATTTTCTCGGCACCTTTGTTTCCTTCGCTTGAATCTGTGTCTTCTTGTTCGTGAAGTTGCTGGTTTCAGGAATTTCATTTTGGTCAATTCTTATTACTTTGTAGGTGGTGATTATATCACCTCTATTTCTTCTAGGTTCTAGCTTTGGCATATTTAAAGCCTCTAGCCTCTCCTCGTAACTTTTTCTTTCAGTTCCGGAAGCCATTTTGTAGCCTGTCTTTGCACCTTTTCCAGTTTATTGATGTGCTTCATGAGATATGGGCACCATGCAACTGCTGCATATTCCAATTTTGGTCTCACAAATGTCATGAACAATTTCTTTAGAATTTCACCATCCATGTAAATAAAAGCAAGTATGAAGTTGGAAAGCAATGCATATGATCCTCTCACAATGCTCTTTGTGTGTTCCTCTGGTGACAGTTTACAATCCAAAGCCACCACTAGATCTCGGTCTTTATTAAGAGTTCTTTAATTCCTTTCTACATAATATGTTAGTTTTGTGTGGTCTATTTTCTCAGATTCCACATACCGCAACACGCCATTTATTCACATTGAATTCCATTTGCCACATGTCGCTCTAAGCACTTATTTTATCTATATCAATTTGAAGGGCATGACAATTGACTATCTCTCCAATCTTCCCCAGTAACTTTGCATCATCCACAAACATGTTCATAAATTCTCTATTTCTTCTGGTAGATCATTGATGTGGACGATGAACATTACCGGTGCAAGAACTGAACCCTGTGGTACTCCACTAGTAACAACTCCTCTGGTCAGGTACACTGCCTCTGATTACCACCCTCGTCTTTCTGCCAGTTAAGACAATTTTCAATCCATATCAGAAGTCTCCCTGTCATGGAACAAGTGTAGTAATGGACCAAGAAGACAGGGTACAATCAGTAATAAGGAGGGATGTGTAGTAATGGACCAAGACAACAGGGTACAATCAGTAATAAGGAGGGATGTGTAGTAATGGAACAACAAGACAGGGTACAATCAGTAATAAGGAGGGATGTAGTAATACTGACCAAAGAATCTGCACAAATCTTGGGACATGATGAAGCTACTGATATGTACAAGATGGTGACTCAAATTATTCATAATATAGTTCTCTCCTTTACCATGAACATAATACTAAAAACTTTAAAAACTAATACGGTATTAACATGCTTTATCTAAACTAATATACCTTATACAAGTATTTTTTGAGCAAGGTATAGTAAATGGGTTCAATTTATTTGATTTTTTCCTTACACCCTTCAGAGTTACTTCATGCTGGATTATATAACTGTTAAGAACATTTTCACATATAAGCACCTTCTCAATGAGAGCATTGTAAGTGAGCTTGACGTTGCCAGCATCCAGCGTGGCTGAGCGAGGATCGTCACACACAACCGTCGCAAATTCCTTGAAGCTCGTCTTCACCTGCAATATTGAAAATAATGGTAATGAAAAAACGGACAAATACATCAAAATGTACATAATTATTAATTAAATTATCCTTGCATTAATTAAGCAATAGTTTAAAAATAAATTCAATACAAAAATATTAACAAACCCTTAAGTCATCGTACTGTGCACTGGTACCGAACAAGACAGTTCATGCACAGCACTGCATAAACACTTACTTATTCCCAAGATGCTATTATACATGCTACTGAATATAGATGTACATGTCTGAATTATTATACATGCTACTGAGTATAGATGTACATGTCTCAATTATTATACATGGTACTGAATATAGAAGGTATGTCCATGTCTGAATTATTATATATGGTACTGAATATAAAAGATACATTCACGTCTGAATGACAAAATAAAAAGCAGAACACAAGTGCTAATGTCTGAGAGAAAAACTTGGGTCTGAGACCAGAGAACTGGGGACAGATTTATGAAGCAGTTACGCAAGCACTTATGAACGTGTACATCTTTCCTCAATCTTTGACGGCTTTGGTTACATTCATTAAACGGTTTACAAGCATGAAAACTTGCCAATCAACTGTTGTTATTGTTATAAACAGCCTCCTGGTGCTTCGGAGCTCATTAACTGTTTAATAATTGTAAACAAAGCCGCCAAAGATTGAGAAAAGATGGACAGGTTCGTAAGTGCTTGCGTGACTGCTTTGTGAACCAGGCCCCCTGGAGTACATTTATCACACACAAGGTCCAGTCATCTTGTGTCATCATATTATTACCCTCAACACACCTTTATCTTCCCCATTAACACTTGTTTATCTACAAACATCAATAAAAAGATTAGCAAAATATGGATTCTTTTTTATAATTCCAGTTCCCTGAGTAACTATTTACAGCTGCAAAGATGCATCCAAATAAGGAGTAAGTTATATTGTAAATAATATTCTTGGAATAAAAGCAATATTCCTGGAATAAGTTACATTATTAATATTATTCTTGAAATATGTTATATTGTAAATAATAGTACCAATGTACATTGCTCACCTGAACTTCAAATGATTTTTCTTTCAAGATCTCCTTGATGATTTTCTTTTCATCATGGAATCGGGACTTGAGATCTGCCACATAAAACTTAAACAGGTCAAGAGGTGTTGACCCCGGTTGACCAAGCATGGCTGTGAACCTACAAGAATAAATGAAATAAATTCAGCAATTAATGATCAAGTTTGATCAATTTTGAGAAATATTCATCACATGAGCATTCAACAGTTTGAGGATTAAAACATTTAACAGCTGGTAGAGACAATGGGTCCAGAGTATAGTAGCATGTCAACAGTCCAGCACACAGCGTGGACACAGCAGCAGAAAGAGATCAAAATCATTGATAAAATAGTAGATTTAAGAGAAGACCTCAATTCAAAGGAAAATGTCAAGTGATTTTAGGAGGATAGGAAAATATGAGAGAGACAAAAATCGCCCCATTAAGGGTGTTGCAAACAGAGTGGTAGACAGTTGGAACTAGCTACATGAGAAGGTGGTGGAGGCCAAAACTGTCAGTAGTTTCAAAGCGTTATATGAGAGTGCTGGGAAGATGGGACACCACAAGCGTAACTCTCATCCCATAACTGCATTTAGGCAATTACACTTAGGTAATTACATGGGACAATGCACTTGTTGCAGTAGTAATATATTTAAATTATATAGAAACTCAATAATCCAGATCTTTGACTTATCAAGTCAACTTTGACATTAATAGCAGCAACAGCCTGACCAAAGGATACAAATAAATTGTCTCCCATTCATGGCAGCCAAGACAAAATGCTTCCAGAACTAAGACACCCTTACCAGGGAACAGCTCAATATAAACAGGAAACTTGAGTTTCATTTACATGGTAATAGGTCCACCTGGGGATCTCAGAAGGATTTGTACATCTAAAGAATGAAAACGAGAAAGACCATCGATGAAGCATTTGACTCACAATGTAAACAAAAATAAAATAAAAAATCGTTAATTGTAATGAAACACCATTTACTGGGTGAGACCTGGAGGCTCCCCCGGAGCTTATCCAGGCTGATATGCATATATTAAACTTTGGCATCAGTCATTTTGAATGGAGTTCTTATGCCTACCAGGGGGACCACGAGCCAGAACCTGGCCCCCTCCGAGAGGCACTAGGAGCAATGCCCTATAGAAATGCACATGTGATTTGGAGCATTTTATGTCTGCCATCGACCGGGTCAGGCACCCAGAAAGGTAAGCATCCCAAAACAAACCCTTATTCTGGTTGAAACTACTACTAAAAGTCAAACAAGTGGACAGAAATCCCCAAAGAAATACAAGCAAATGAGCATGACATCACCACGTTGCCGCGTCACAGTCTGTGCAGCTCCTCCCTCCCCGGGAGGGGGGAGCACCAGACCCTTCATGCCTGCCACCCAAAACCTCAGTTCTGAGACTGGATATCAAAACATGCAAAAACCGCCGACTGGAGGGAGGGAGGGTTGCCGGGGAGCCTCTGGGTCTCACCCAGAAAATGGCGTTTCATTACATTCAATGCTGGTATTCTGGGGAGAGCCCCTATAGCTCTCCAGAGCTACTGATCAAAAGACAAAAACAAGAGGGACTTACCCAAGAGGTAGTCAGTGTTCGCTCCTCAACGCGAAGTCGAGACAACTCGCTGCAACTGCTGGCCTTAAAGCGAAACAGGCCCAACTGGGCCCCAAACATTCACCAGGTAATGCACAGACAGGACCCTGTTTGACTGCCAAAAACCCCGTGCCCGAATGTCAGCCCAAGACATGTTACTGAAGATGGCAGCAAGAGCAGGAAATTTACGAACATTGTGGGCACAGGGATAGATGACAGGCTGGCTGAACCAAATAACCCTGTGATTGACCTGGGAAACCCTAACCCTGGAGCAGGGAAGAAGGGAAACCAGATCAACCCAAAGTGCATTCCCGACCACAGAGGCTGTGGTGCGCAAATAACTGCAAAGATCCGCAACCGGACACAACACATGATGCATCCCCGGCCTGACCAACCAAGCATTAACAACCCAAGGAACCCTCCGGAAAGCAGCCATCTCATTCTTCTCCAAGGAAAAAAGGAGATTGCTGCAACCGAATACACCTATCACTAGGGCCAAACAAGCAGAAACCCCTGCACTGGAGGAGAGCATGAATCTCCCCGACCCGACCCCCAGAGACCAATGACAACAAGAAAAGATTATTAAAGACAATCCGAACCAAAGGGGCTACAACAAACCGAGGAGAAGAGAGATAAGAGAGAACCCTGTCCAAAGACCAGGAGGGCAGGCTGGAGGTGAAACAACGCCCGAGACAGCTTGCAAAACGGTGCAGAACAACATCAATGCCGAAAGCATGCTACAGCGGCTCTGCCAACGCCGCACGATACAAGGTGACAGTATTCAGCATAAGATGACGGTCCTGAAACAATGACAAGAGAAAGGACAAGACTTCTCATTCTGAAACGTCATACTGCCACCGAGATGAAGCACACAGATGGGACACCATCAACAAGGACACCTGATCACCATACAGATGGTGATAGACCCCGAGTCAAAAATACCAGACGCGAAGACTCAAGGAGAAGATCGAACCAGCCACGTAATGGACCAGACCGATCACCTGATAGAGGAGACGTGGAAAAAACCCTGGATTCGGACACTGAGCAAGCAGCGCCTGCAACCAAGGCTGGGCCAGCCACCAAGGAGCCAGGAGGACTACTCTCCCCTGATAAGTCTCTAAGAGAGCTAAGACTTGGAGTAACAGCGGAACCGGCGGGAAAAAGGTACAGGTAACCCCACCTCGACCAGTCCTGCCAAAAAAGCATCGATCCCGACGAATTTGCACTCGGAAAAGGGCGCCACATATACTGGGACATCCCACGACCACGCTGACGCGAAGAGGTCCACTTCCGGGAGCCCATATGTCCAGCAGAGCCAACTGAATGCGTTGGTGTCGAACGTCCATTTCGTGGACAGGAGAATGAACCGAGACAGGCTATCAGCCGCCAGGATGGCCTGTCTCAGTTCATTCCTCCAGTTCGGTGGGTGTCAAAAACTCCCTGAATGTGAATGGCCAGGAGAGAGAAACCCCAAGAACTCAGCAGACTAGTCACCCAAAGCGACCAGCCCCAAAGAGCCAAGGACTGCATCGAACCCCCTCGGTTCAAGCAATGAACCACCGGGAATCAGTTTGAATGAAGCTGGATCGTTGATCCGCGAGCAACCTGAATCCTCCAAAGCGTCCTCCACACCACCGCGAACTTCTGCACCATGCTGTGGGACCGACGGAAAGATGGACCCCACCGCCCCTGGCCGGCCTGGTTAGCACTAGTCACAAAGCCCCAACCAAGAGAATATGCATCCGTGACCACATCGAACGACGGCTCGGGTAGGCACCAATGCACTGAACCCTGAAAAATCCATAGAGGAAACTAGCGAAGATGTAGCTGCCGCAAGGCCCTTGGAGGCCACACCCAGCGGCCGCGAGAGAGGCAGAAAGGATGTCCCCGAAGGAACCAGAACAGCCGGCGAAGCCTAACCCGACCCAGCGGGTAGACCATCATGGGAAAGTCTCCAGCACAAACCCTCGAGCATTCGCTGAGTGACCCGGGAGCGCTCCTAGAAACAAGAGAAGTCGGGAGCTCAGCTGAAACAGAGGATCTAAAGGAAGAGACAAGGAAGCGGTTCAAGAATCCCACACAAGATCCTATCAAGTCCAAACCTGAGAAGAAACCAGAGGGGACTTCCTCCAGTTCACCAGGAACCCGAACCCAGCAAGTTGGGAAAGAACCAAATCCCTGGCGAGCAGACACATGGACTGGCTGGGAGCTCAGACCGGCCAGTTGGTGAGGTAGGCCAGAACCCGAACCCCAAAGAGACGCAGATGGGCCACCCCGACCCAGGTAAGGTGTGTGAAAATGCGAGATGCCAGGTTCAACCTGAACGGGAGAAAATGAAATTGGTAATGGAGATGCCCACAACAAAACCGAGCCAGTCCCTGAACCCCAGATGAATGGGGACATGCCAATATATGTCCCAGAGGTCCAGGGGACACCATCCAATTGCCCGGCTCCAACAGAAGCCAGACCTGAGACAGAAGTCATCTGAAAGAAGGGGGCAAAGAACCCAGGGGTTCAGACGGAATAAGTCCAGAATGACCCGCATGGGAACAGACAGCAAACCCATCTGAGAGACGTCATTGTTTCAACCATGTCCAAGTACACTCACACCGAGATGACCCGACAGCGCAGGAGAAGAGGCCTGCCCCGCCAGCCCAAACCCCCTGAAGGAGGAGAGGCCAACCAACGATACCGCAGGCTGGCTGAAATGACCTGAAATGCCCACAGATCATGAGACCTGGCATTAGTGAACAGTGACCCTCCCCCCCATCACACCGTCAGTGGGACGAATCGCAAAAGGGTCGACACCCTTTATGAGAACCCTAACCACGCACTGGGCGAACACAGCGCCGGCCAGACGAAGATGGGACCGAAGGCAGTGCTGGCTCCGAAACTGGTACCAGTGGTCTACGACGACGAGCAAAACCCCGAGCCCTGGCTCGACTCCTCTGGGAAGGCCCCCACCCCCCGGGACTCCCGGAGAACAAACAAGTCCGACATCGGACGACAACTTGAAGAAGCTGCCTGCAGATACTGCTTAACCGCAAAATCTGCAAACAGCAAGAGACAAAAGGGCGAAGACAACCTAAGAGCCAAGGCCCAAGCAGATTCCAAGAAAGAAGCAAGCACCACCACCTGACATGCGAGCCGCAAGGTATAAAACAGAGACACTGGATCCTGCAGGATCGGCGCAAACAGCATCAACAGGGCAGATGATGCACATGCTACCAAGCCCAAGGCACTAGACCCAGGAACAGCCTAAAGTGCCTCCACATCCTCCTCAAGCCAATCTGCGGAGAGCTCCAGGAGGAAAAAGAACCGCAAGACCGAAGCCAACATGCCACGAGCGCGCAAGTCCTCAGCAACCAGTGCAGCTGAAAGGGAGGGAACCTACATGTGAAGCTGTACCACACCGACATCCCAAGGAAGGTTCGGAGCGAACAAGCACGTATTGAGGTGCTCAACCTCACCCCCCAAGAAAACCTGGATCACAGTCAGCGCCTCACGCCACTCAAGCATGCAGGAACAACATAACGTATGCCAAGCCTCCAACGAAAACACAGGACAATCCGCCAGCCAGGATGACTCCAGAACCTTATAACGAATCCAGTAGGGAAATGTAGACCCAAACCTGAACAAAGACGTATCTATAATAGAGGCTTAATCCAGGTCGTGCAGTAGGTAAGCTGCAAAGGCGTCCCGCACCACATGAGGAGGGATGCAGGAAGCCGAAACCTTCTGGAAAGACGGGACCAAAGCACCTGAAGGAACACAGAACCGAACCTAGGGATGGGCAGACACCAAATCCAACTCCTATGGAGAGAGAGAGAGAGAGAGAGAGAGAGAGAGAGAGAGAGAGAGAGAGAGAGAGAGAGAGAGAGGGGGGGGGGGAGAGAAAACCCCACTCATTGTAACATTAAGCTCCACTCAGAGGTAGAAAAACCCAGGCGGGGTCCAACAGAGTCCAAGGCCCCCAAGTCAGCCCCTCCCCAGCCCTGGGAACCACCACATCAGGACCCAGGGCTGAGTCGTCCCCCAAAGTCCTGGACTCAAAAAGAAAAGGCAGGCATAGCCGAAGAAGCCAGAAGGAAGGGGGCCCACTGGCCAGACCCAAACACTTCAGCAGGGAGAACTGACTCGAAGGCCTCCATCGCTACCCCGGAAGGGGCATCCCCCGAGACTGTCTGAGCCTCAAGACCACCTAAACCCTGCCCCGACCCTGAAACCCTCAGAAGTTTCAGAGCCATATGCAGGGGGTGGGGAAGGGGGGAAACAAGATCAAAACACAGAAGGGAAAAGATGGGGTTGGTGCGAACTAATCCAAGGCCGAAGCGACCAACATCCCCAAGTCCGGGTCCCTATAACCAAAACAGGGCAGTCTCGGGGCTTCCAGGGAAGCAATCATCCTAGCGAGTTGCAACAACCTAAATCTAACATGCAATGCCTGCGCTGCCTGTACCCGAATAGGGTTATCAGTGGACTGGCTAAACTGAGTCACAAACAAGCAACAAAACTTACAGGTTGGAAGGTGTCACCTACCCAGGAGGCAGCGTGACGGAGGCAAAAACAAGGAGTCACCCTGAGACAAGGAGGCAGAGGAACCCCTCAAACTCGCACAAAGCGAGGGGGAACTCAGGGGTCACATCCATCGGACCCACGCACCCCCGTGGGGATTCCCAGGGTCCTGAGACGGAACTCACGCTCAGGAAAACCCAGGCAGGGTACAGCTAACCGGCGCCCAAGTCTACCAACAAATTTTTTAGAAGCTGAACCCCTGGCACGTGTCCACTCACGGGGGGCCTAGCAGGGTATACCACCAGAACTAAACACACACAGGGGGCAACCAACAAAGGCAGACCGCCCCACCAGCCAAAGAAAACATAACGAAAACCCTGCAAGAGGACAACGTACCCAGGCGGAACAGAGCCAGCTTCTATGAGAAGTGACAACTAGCTGCACAGTAGCCTGTGCCCCTACCAATGCAAACAACCTCTTACCCTAAAGAGAACAAGGGTGAGAGAAACACCGCAACACACTTAAGGCAGCAGAATGCCGCTGGGCAGAGGCAGAACACAAGGAACGTGTGGAAGGTGGGCCCCAAGGGCAGTACTTACCAGGCACCTAGGGAAGGTAGCCCTAGGCGTACGCAGCCCACACCACAAGACACAGAGCTGGAGACAATGTCAAGAGCACACAACTTTAGCCTAATGCATCAGGCTCAGAATTTGGGTGGTTTTGGGTGGCCGGCACGAGGGGCCTAGGGCTCCCCCTCCTGAGAAGAGGGGAGCTGCGCAGACTGCGGCGTGGCAACGTGGTGATGTCATGATCGTTTTCTTGTTTTTCTTTGATGAGTTCTGTCCACTTGTTTGACTTTTAGTCGTAGTTTCAACCAGAATAAGGGTTTGTTTTGGGATGCTTACCTTTTTGGGTGCCTGACCCAGTCGATGGCAGACAGAATGCTCCAAATCACATGTGCATTTCTATAGGCCCATTGCTCCACATGCCTCTCTGAGGGGGCCAGGTTCTGGCTTGTGGTCCACAGTAGACTTAAGAACTCCATTCACACTGATGATGCCAAAGTCTAATATCTGTATATGCGTATCAGCCTGGATAAGCTCCATGGAGCCGTAGGGGCTCCCCCCCCCCAGAAAAAACTAACTGTAGTGAAGTCTGAGTGAGCCCTGGAGGCTCCTTTAACCCCTGGGTGGTGCTGCTAATAATAGCTGGCAACACTGCTGTGTGCAGTAGTGTGATATATTTATATAAAAAAATGTGTGAACTATCACTACACTCAAAAGTATGATGTGCATATTAATGATTCAAGTATTATGTTCATAAAACAGTAAAACAATATTTTTGCTGTTATTACATTATATACACACACATTTTATATAAGTATCTGCATGTTTTGTTCACCACAAGAAACAACTAATCTGGTATGGTGCATCAGAACAGCATAGTGGTTACCAACACAGCAGCCAGCAGAAGATGCCACCTCCCACTCCAACATTCCTCCTCCCACCATACTGTTTGTGCTGTTATTACACTATACACACACACATTATATATAGATATCTACATGTTTTGTTCACTGTAACTGTACAGCTAAGCTGGTATGGTGCCCAAACAACATAGTGGCCACCTTACACAGCAGCCAGCAGACGACGCCACCTCCCTCACCAAAATGGCTCCTCTCAACATATTCCTTTTGCTGTTATTACACCATATACACATGTTATATAAAAGTATCTACAATTGTGTTCAACATAATGAACCACTAAGCTGGAATGGTGAGTCCAGACAATAACAGTGACCGCCACACACAGTCAGCTGATGACGCCACCTCCCTTATCCCTCACCAAGACGACTCCTCCTCCCACCATACTACGCACATCACTAATTCTCACCACAATCCTCCTTTTATCAGAATCCTAGTCACTAAATCCCTAATTCCTGAAAGTGAAAGATTTTCAACAAGTTTTTTTTAGTAGAGGAACATGAGAAGTCATTTGAAGATTCTTATATAGATGGCAGTGTGCTGTGGCTAGCGCTGTGAACATCTTGAACAGCATTGTGTTCACTGATATCTGAACATTGTACACAGTGTTTATCACAGTCAGGCTCTTCTGTAATACTATCATGGCTAAATAATACCAGTTACATATATTTTGACAATTTTAGGGGATGCTGTGATCACAAACTGAACAGCAGTGCTGTTAGCTCATGCTGCATGCACCAGCCTTCGTTGCTCACTCAGTACTGAGGCCTTCACACCCGGGAATGTTGCCCACGATGTTTTTTTTTAAATGGCGTCTGTTTACTAGAGCCCTGAGGAAGCTGTCGTGAACCCTGTGTAGTCGTGGTACTTTTTAAATCTTATGCAGTACTTAAAATGTATACACAGTATATGATGTGCACTGTTAAGCCAGTTAAGACTAAAATTGTATACAATTTACACTGTTAAAGGGTTAAGCTATCACACTGATTAAGTGTCATACTACCAGGTGCCATCAGTCGCAGAGTTTTATTGGCCTTCCAGGGACCACGAGCCACAACTTGGCCCCATCAGAGAGGCGCAGGGAGCAATGGCATATGAACACTTTACATTTAAAGTTTATCATCTTTGCCACCATCCAAGGCAAGGAGCCCAGAAAGATAGCCAAAGTCAGTAATTTTTTGTTTTCTGTGATCAGGGAATGCATTTTAAAAGTAAAAAAAAAAAAAAATTTTTTTTTTTTCGTATGCAGATGAGTTATCACAGAAATTTGAGTGTACATCCCAAGGGTTAAACAAAAAACTGCATCACACAAATACCCCCTGAAGGCATTTCCTGTTGCAATGAATCCCTCGCCCAAATAAATCATAATTTGTCCCATGTAGTTTACCAAATTGATGTTGCATTATATTACAAAAAATTTATAAAAAAAAAAAAAAAAAAAAAAAAAAAATACACCCACAATATAATTTGTGAGTATAAAAGACAAGTTTAGATTACCTAATATCTGCAGAGATCATGGGATAGAGTTCAACCCACAAAGACATGGAGGTGAGTTTGCCCTGCTCGTGCAACTCGTCCAAGAGTGCTATATAGTTATCACGGCACTTCCTCTGTTGTCGCTTGATCCTCCTCTTCTGCCTCTCACGCTCCTCCTCCTCTTCCTCCTCCAGTTGCTTGATGTGTTCAGCAAACACAATCAAGGCATCCTCCTTATCCATGCCTACAGATAATTTGATCACTCAAACATATATATAGTAACAAACTATTATTTTGTATGGATTAAGTGAAAGACATTAAATTATGATCATTTATCAATTGCACAACAATAAAAGGTTGGTTGACTGCCTATAATATTATGCTGAAGGTATCATGGCTTTACAGAAAAAGTACAGTAATACTCACTAAGCAGATCTGTGTCTTCAGCAAATGTTGGGTTGTCTATGAGCATCTGTTGTGCCTCTGACCATGTAGTTTTAAAGGTGATATTTGTCATACTGTCTAATATCTCACTCAATACCTAAAAAATCCAACAATTAGTATTTAATAACCTAAAATTCTTTAATTATTATAATTCAGATATTTCCAAATGCTAACTTTAACAATTTAAATTATTAAAATTAAAAACATTCCACAGTAGGAATTTATTTAAGAAAAGAACTTGATTACAGCAAGCCAGTTTTCTGAAAGTTAAGTAACACAGTGTTTTAGGGATTAATTAAACTTCACATTTACTCTAAGGCAAGACAAAGGGAGTTGCAAGTAACGTCGCTCCATCAACAGGAATAACTGCCTAATCATTAAACATATACTGAAAGGTATGAAATATTTATCGTACCAATTCTATCTTAAGACATGCCTACTGATTCCCTGCATACAAGCAATACAAACATTTCCACCATCCAGGAGATGAACCCATGCCACCAGTAGTCCATACCTTCATGTTCCTCTTCCGCATTGCTTTATTCTCTTCCTTTTCTTTCTTGGCCAGATTGAACACCACGTCCTCGTACACTTCACGTCGCTCAGACTCGGGCACACACTTCCACAACTGCACAAAATGATAGCAATTTATTTTGAGAGACAAAATACACTCAATATTTCTTGAGGTTAAAAAAGATTAATTTTAGCTCTTTTGCTCCTAAGTAACTATTCTTATTAATTATATTGTTTAGAAAACCTTCTAAAGAAAAGTCATTACATATATATATATATACACCGGTATTCCTGAATGACATGAATCTGCAGCAATTTAACTTTCATATTTTTAAGATATCAGAAACAATTGCCCCACATTTAGATAAAAACGCTATGTATACAGAAATGGGAAACCAAATTTGGTAACAGTGACTGGTTACAGAAGTCATACAGCAAAACAAAACATAATATGATCCCAATGCATGGAAATCACGGAATCTACCTTCTGCAATGGAATCCAAGACATGAAACGGAAACATATACGCAATAAAAAAAATTGGAAACTCCTGGTATTTTTGTTTCAAAATAAGTTCCTGTCATACTACAACAGTTCATTATATAGTGCAACCTCCCAACTATGACCTTGAAATAATGAATACATCTAAATAACAGCTCGAATTGTTATCTGACCATTGAATGAAAATTTGGATAAGGATTAAATTGTTTACCGTTTGCTTTGAAACCTGCATCGCCATTGTATGGTAATTCAGGATAATCGTATTTCTCAATTTTTTCTATTTTTGTGCTTTCATTATAAAATTCTACAATAATAAAGTACAGTATATATATTTTCTGGGGGGGGGGGAGCAGCCCAAAGCTATCTGGGCTGATATGACTGTATTAGACCGAGGCATAAGTCAAAGCGAATGGAGTTCTGCCAACCGGGAACCATGAGCCAGAACCTGTCACCCCCCAGAGGGGCATGAGGAGCAATTGCGTATAGAAAACCCAGTGTGGTTGGTTGCCTTTTATGTCTGCCATCGACAGACATAAAAAAGAACTTTTCTGCCATCAAAAAAAGAAAGATCATCCAAAAACCATGAACTAGCACCTGGCCGAAAGAGAACACCCGACCACGCAAACTCACCTGCAGGGCGTAGGCACGAATGTGTCACAACAAATGTGGCACCCCACACCCGAATGCAGAGAAAAACTAGGTATCCTCCTCATATCGGTAATCCAGAACACCCCCAGTATGTATCTACGGGGTACAGACTGGAGAGATAAGAGGAGCGAGAGGGGCGAAGTACCCGAGAGAAAAAGGACGTGGAACACCACACTAGCGTACACCGTCCACAACTAATCAAACTCCCACGGTGCATGCGCAGGACGCATGAGGTCCAAATTGCACAATCCGCCCGGCGGGGAGGGCGCCAACTAGGAGTATTTAAGGAATATTAGCAGTGCCGAGAATGAGCACAGAGAGAAGATACAATCACAAAAGCACAAAAGAACGAGACAGGACCGAAAACCAAGAAGAAATAAGGAAGAGGACCAACGAGTTCTAGAAAGGACTGGAGGTAAGCCTCATTGGAAGACGACAGACGTTTCAATAATACGGGAAGAATCAAAGACCTTCCCGAACCTTCGAGATCCCACAGAATCAAGCACAAAAACATGAAGGCTCAGAAAGGCACAGTCACACCAGAGACCAAAGGTCATGCCGATATGAGGGGAACACGACCTGGACATGGCAGAGAAGTCCTGTCCCAGAAAAGAAGGGTGAGAAAACGGAGAAGATTACCCACCGACAGGACGGAACCGAACCTGGGGAGGGGCCGACGCCCAACAACATGTACACAGGGGGGGGGATAAAAAACCCCACTCCCCGTAACCACAAGCCCCACTCAGAGGGTAGAAAAACCCCAGCGGGGTCCAACGGGGCCCTAGGCCCCCAAGACAGCTCCTCACCAGCCCCGCGAACCTCCACAGCAGGACCTGGGGCCGAACCGTCCCCCCAAAGCCCCAGCCTAACAAGAAAAAGACGGGACAGCCGGATAAACACTAAGAAAGGGAGCCCACTGGCCGACCCATACATCACAGCTAGAGGAACAGGCTCGAATGCCTCTGTCGCTACCCTGGAAGGGGAAATCTCAGAGACCGCCCGAGTCTCAAGACTATCAAAACCCCGCCCCCCAACCCCGAACCCACAGATGGTGAGGATCTGGATGCAGGGAGGAAAGGGGGGGGGAGAACAGACCAAACCACAACCGGGGAAAGACAAGGGTGCGTGGATGGAAGCAAAACCAAAGCGACCAACACCCCCAAGCCCCAAAACGGGGCAGCCTCGGGGCTTCCGGGGAGCAAACAACCTAGCGCGTTACAACCACCTGAACCCAACGTGCAATGCTCGTGCTGCTTGCACCCCGCATAGTCAGCATAGGACTGGGTACCTGAGTCACAAACAAGCAATAAAACTCGCATGACTCTGGGTCGAAGGTGCCACCGACCCAACAGGTAGCAGATGGAGGCAAAAACAGTGAGTCACCCAGAGACAAGGTGTTACGGACACGAGTCTAGCGTCCGGGCACGGAGCGGTGACGACCACGCCATCTGTGAGTCAGCTCCCGAAACCCCCTCCAAATGGACGACGCCATCTAGTGAGGACGAGATATACCGGCCACAGGGGCTGGATTCCCGTCTTAATCAGCTCGTAACATAGCCGCTGATGACCTCTGGTGAGGTGGCGCTTAGACAGCAACGCCATCTATGGAGTGGATAGGTGGACGATTGTGTCTAAGCCGGTAAGTGAGGTGCCCTAGAGTGTAACCAGTACTAATGACGTGTCTGATTACAGAGTCGACCTGGGACTGCTGTATTGGACGATGAGGCAGTCTACCCAAGGCAGCCATAGTCTCTCCACGTGTTTGCTGCAGAAGCTGTGAGTTGCTCCCGGACGAACACTGCTGAGAGTGTTGGCCTGCCTGTGACGTGGCAGAGTTGAGGAATCGTCGTACCCGGGGGTTGACTGGTGGAAGAGACTAGCCACTGTGGTGCTATAGAGAGGAGAGTGATCAGCGGAATCACACGGGGCTCCTGCCTAGGGCTCGCAACCCTAGTATCGGTCGTGGAGTGGCCTACGCAGCGGAGCTGATTGGAACCTGCCAGCTACAGGCTGGATTTGTGGTTGAAGGCCTCCACGACGGTGCACCCAGTGGGATGGTGATTTGGCTGGCCTGTGGCCAGGGTAGATTCGCTTAGAGAATCAAAGGATTCATCGTGAGGCCACGAGAAGAGAACCAGGGCTACTCATCTTGAGCACCGTAGAGCATCCTGTGTCTTCGGAGGAAGACAAGTTATTGTATATAAGTGTAGTTATAGCCCCAGCGAGTGACTGTGAGATATTTATTTATGGTGGTAGTTAATATACATATTTAAATTAGTGCATTTTTATCCCTTCCCCTTTAATTTACTTGCGTTACGAAACACACCCCTTGAAAGCCACTACTAACTTGGGGCCGGATACCCAAACTCTAATAACATCAGAGAAGAACCCCAGTTGCGACCCAATAGGGCCGTAACACAAGGGGACAGAGCAACCCTCAAACTCGCACAAAACGAGGAGGGGACTCCGGGGTCACATCCATCGGACCCACGCACCCTCGTGGGGATTCCCAGGGTCCTAAGACGGAACTCACGCTCAGGGAAGCCCAGGCAGGGCACTGCTAACTGGCACCCAAGTCTAAAAACAACTTTCTAAGAACTGAACCCCCGGGACGTGTACACTCACTGTGACCAAGCTGGGGGTACCACCGGAATAGAGAAGAGCACGCAGTACACAGGAGCAATAACCAAGGCAGACCCCCCACCCCCCAGGCAGGCAAACAAAAAGAAAAAAAATGCAAGAGGACAGCGTATCCAGGCGGAAGAGCCGGCCGCTATGATTAGTGAAAACAAGCTGCGCAGTGCTCTGCACCCCTTACCAGTGCAAACTGCCTATTACCCTAAGGCAAACAAAGGACACAGACCACCCTAGCACACAAAAGGCGGCCGAAAACTTAGTAAACGGCCAAGCAGAGGCAGAACCCAAGGAACTTGGGGAAGGTGCCTTACAGCTGGGCGCCTGACAGCTGGATGGACGGTGCTTCGGATTTATAGTCCTGAGGTTCCGGGTTCGATTCGCGGTGGAGGCGGAGACAAATGGGCAAAATGATTCTTTTATCCTGATGCTCCTGTTACCTAGCAGTAAATAGGTACCTGGGAGTTAGACAGCTGCTAGGACCGGGCCGTGAGGACACTAAGCCCCAAAATCATCTCAAGATAATCGGAAGGTGGCCCCAAGCCCCAAGGGCAGTACTTGCCAGGCACCTAGGGAAGGAAACCCTAGGCGCATGCAGCCCGAGTACTGAAGAATCACTCCTGGCTCCCACACCCCCTAGAAGACAACCAACTCGCCACAAGGCACAGAGTTGAAACCAAGGCCGGAGCCAGAACATACAACTTCTGCATAGCGCATCAGCCTCTGAACTTAGGGGTCTAAGGCTACCCCCTTCCCCCTCCCGAAGAAGGGGGAGCTGCGCAAACAGTGGCGCAGCAAGTCATGCTCGTTAGCTCATTTCTATTTTCGGAGTTCTGTCCACTAGTTCGGCTCTCAGAAGCAATTTCTTAACCAGAATAGGGGCTTGTTTTGGTATGCTTACCTTTCTGGGTGCCTGAGCCGATCGATGGCAGACATATAATGTTTCCAACCACATGGGGGTTTCTTTAGGCCATTGCTCCTCGTGACTCTCTGAGGGGATCAGGTTCTGGCTCGTGGTCCCCGGTAGGCCTAAGAACTCCATACACATGACTGATGCCAAAGTCTGACATTAACAATATCAGCCTGGATAGCTCCGGGGAGCCGATATGGCTTCCCTCAGAAAAGATCGGTTAGAAGGGTGTGGTCCAAGAGCTAATACTGTAGCTCAATTCTGCAGGCACAAATAATAAATATAGTGGTTGCCAGGATTAGGTTGGACTACCATTACCTGTGGTAGGTGGCTACAGGTGACAAACCTCCCAATCCTGAACACTCCAGGTGTAAATTCTGAGCAGGAACTGGGTCATGATCTCACACTACATTACTGAATACCCAGTTATTAGACCCTTCAGACCTACTGGCATGAGGTACCTGGAGCTTTGCCCTGCCTTTCTGGTGGCCATTCCCTTTGGTCAGAGTGATCTTGAATCTCTGCTCCTTGCACTTCTATGAGGGAAGACCAGGTTTTGACCTCTGGCCTTTGTTAAGCTTTTAAAGACTCACAAGTAAAAGAGCCTGGTATTATTCAAACTGGGGTGGGGATAACGAGGTGGCAAGCAACAGGGAGCCCCATGATGGAGCTCTACCTGAAAGCAGTATTTTGTTCAGCACACCTTTGTTGTCTCAGCAAAACTATGAAACTTGTGGACAAAGTTATGAATGACCTGGAGTGAACTGAGCCTCTTTCAAAAGATCACCAAAGGTAAAGCATCTTGCTTGCACAAGATTCATCTAGAAATAGGTTCTGGTCAAGGAGGACTCTTACTTCGGATAATGCCCTTTCAATATCTACCACTAAAATTCCTTTCTATTAATTATTTTAATTGCCATAAGTTTTAAATAAAGATGGAGCATTCTCAAGATATCACACTGAAGCCTCAACACAAAAAAATCTAAGATATCCCTTACTAGGAAATACCTAATACTACAATTACCTCTAAGTGCTGGAACATCTCATGGCATCTGTAGTACTTGATAGAAGAGCTCATTCGTTCACTGCTTAACAAAAACTGTTCCAGGTCCTCCTTGGCTTTCTTGGCTCGTAGTCGCTGCTCCTCCTACACGACAAAGTAGAAAATAGATATTTAAAGTTATATTATGAACAGTTCCTTGTAACAATTTGCTGGTACTTGTTGTCTTGTCTCAAAGCTATCATACTTCCCTAAATTGTTATCAAGAGAGATAGGGAAGAAATGCACCTCAGCATATGAATCTTCATATATTTTATCTTCCAATGAATTGCACTGGATTTTGTAAAGTGTTACAGTACCTGGACCGGAACATCTCTGTATACCCAATGACATGCTGAATAATCATTAACCGATCTCGTTATTATAAACCATTACCTATACTGTAACCCCGCGATTATCCGGGATTCAAACATCCGGAAAACGCCCTTATACGGCCAAAATCGTGATCGGATAAAGTTATCACAATATCTGGCAAAAATGGCCACAGGAACCGGATAAAAGCTGGTTTGGCCAGATGAAAATTCGGCCGTACCGTATTAATCCCGTCTGTGGCTCAAGACACATGGTGGAGGAGGGGGTGGGGTGGGTGGGTGGGTGGTGTAGGGAGGGTGGGAGGGGTGCGTCAGGAGGGACCACCTGGGTACAGGAATTACCATTAATTTTAGAACAATTAATCATAGCCAAAAACAAATGAAATAAGTACTAGTAATTATGTAATAACAAATAAATATGTTTCCTAAAAGCAATGTGCACAGGCTGAAGTTTCCTTAAAAAATATTGTGAGTTTTTTCCTAATTATTACGAATTAACTTGAAATTAATAAGTTAAGTAATAATTACAATTATTACTTAACCTATACCTATAATAGGTTAAGTAATAATTGTAATTACGAACTAACTTATAATTAAGGCAAGCCAAGCTCCTTCAACAAGTGAGGTGCATGCAAGCAGTCAAAACTAACTTTGCTTAATGAACTGTACAGTAATTTTAAGTGTTAATTTTAGTGTTGTGTTAGTATAGGTTACGTAAATTGTTAAGAATTCTTAACTTCAAGATGTGTGGCATCAATCAAGAAGACGAACACCAACAAGGTAAATTGAGGTTTCTAGTTGAAAATTTAAGGAGGCGACTGGTTGGTTTCGGAAAAGTTGTTCAATGTCAACCAATATTTTTTGACTAGTTGTATATGAAAAGTGCTGAAATTGTCCCAAGTTTCAGTACTGCAGCGTAAATAGAAAGGGAGATTTTTTTTTTTCAATGTTTTTTACACATTTTCAAGTCTACACTTCAGAACACACGTTTCAGATATAATTATTCTGTGACACTTTTCTGAAACATTAGCATATAATGAAGGATTGCTAGTTTGAGAATTTCCAAAACATCTTTAGTTTTACTAATACAAATGTTCAAAGTTCCCCCAAAAATTATGCAAATATGGCATGTATCTTGCTATTATAAAATCAATAAATGAACTTAGAGAAAAATGAAAATATGCAAATGTAGAGACATGCCCTCCACATATACTGTGTAAATTTCATGTAAATTGAATAAAAAATGAAACAGTTTTGTAAACGTTTGTATCAATTGAAAAAAAAAACAAATGAATAAAGTCTAAGGTTCTAAAATCTGTGGCTGAGGTTGACATCAACCAATTTTCTCCAAAATTGGCATTCTTACAAATAGGCTTACGTGCAGTCAGGTGTGTAAGTTTGATGCAAATCGTCCGAAACAAATAAAAAAAAATAATACAAAAAAAATAAAAATAAAAAATATTTTTTTTCTTAAAAAAAAAAAACTTCCAATTAAACTAATTATAATATTTGTTTAATATATGCTATTGTGATAGCAAAGAGTCATAGCTATGATTTCAGTTAACACTTTTGATTGATAATCGATTTTGACCATTTTGGCATAATTTTCACAACTACTTCAATATTTTTTTTCTCCCTTCCTATTTATGCTACGATGCTGAAACTTGGACCAGATGAAACACTTTTCATATAGAACTTGTCAAAAAGTTTGATTGAAATCGAACTAGTTTTCATTCATTGCATTTTTGGAACCAGACGCCCCCTTAATAATTATATGTGGCAAGGCAATTCAAATTATGTTGTTTGTAGTATAAAAATAGTTGGAAATGGTCACTTTTGGACTCGTAGGTGAAAAAGTACCATTATCCGGAGCACGTGATAATCAGGCTGGGGGTCCTTCCCATATAGTCCGGATGATCGAGTGGAGACAGTATATATTTTCTTTAAATATCTAAGAACATATTTAGTTGAAAAGCTGAAGTTAACACTTTCGCCCGGGCATGACGCAGCATTGCGTCATCCGTTTACTGTCGGTAATACCGGGGATGACGCAGCATTGCGTCATCCACTTTAAATAATCGCCAAAAATCAGGTTTTTATCCGATTTTTTGGGGACTGGTTTTAAAATGTGCGCCGATGTCTTCCCATTTTCTTTGTTGAGCCTCGTGGCCCTCAGGTGGCTTGGCACATGCCGTGGGCCCATTGTTTTCGCTCCACTGTTGTGACCAATGTCGCCTCCCCTCGCATCTCAAACATGTGAACATTTCGGCTATTTTCTGTGGCTATATTTCTTACTGCGGCTTTAGAAACTATCTACCCTTACTCCACGATGGATAGTGATCATGAACAAGGCCCTTCCAGGAAGAAAATTGCGAAAGAAAGGCTTGAAAAGGGAGGGAATTGGGAGTGTAGCTGGAAGGCTTCTGAGCGCTCACTCACGGCTAACGAGTGGCCCGTCTTCAACTCGTCGGCGGTTGGAGCGTGACCAGGTTTTATATTTTATATGCTAATGTTCCTCTAGAGAATTCTATTGCGAACCCATTGAGACCAAAATGAAAGACCTAGGACAAAAATTGAGGTGACCAGAGTGAAAATAGTGAGAACATTTTATCGCGTTTGCGCGCTCCTGGGTAACTCGTTCGCACTTTCTCTGTTTGCTGCGGGTAATTAGCCGGGCTTTTGGAGTTTATATGCATTTAGTGCTGTAGAGAATTCTATTGCGAACACAATGATACCAAATTTAATCTCGTAGGACGAGAATTAAGGTGACAAAGTTGAAGAGAGTATACACTTTTCAGAATTTACGCGCGCTCCCGTGACACCCTGGGTCCCATATCGCACTATTGAGGGGTGGCATGCGGGGTGAGCGAAAGTGTTAACAACTGATGACTCATGTTTTTTTAATTAAAAGCATAATCTTTTTTTATAATTGTAAAAAACCAGGGTTGAATGTAATGAAACGCCATTTTCTGGGTGAGTTCTGGAGGCTTCACTATCCATGGCTGATATGAATACCCTAACTATTTTGCATCAGTCGATGTGGGTGGAGTTCTAGACCTACCGGGGACCTACCAGGAAACTTCATACTGCCCCTGAGAGGAAGCCCGCAGGTGGAAAACCAGCAAGGAAGCCACCTTATCACCATAGAGATGGTGATAAACACGAGTCAAAAACACCAAACGCGAAGATTCGCGAAGAAGAGCGAACCAGTCTTGTACCGGATTGGGCCGATCTGAAAGAGGCGGAGCCGCAGAAAAACCTCCGGGTTCGGACACCAGGCAAGCAGCACCTGAAACCATGGCTGGGCCGGCCACCATGGGGCCAAGAGAACTACTCGCCGCTAGTAAGTCTCCAAGCGAGCCAGGACCTGGAGCAACAGCTGAACCGGGAAAAAGAGGTACAGGAACCCCCACCTCGACCAGTCCTGCCGAAAGGCATCGATCCCTTGAGCCTTGCAGTCGGGGATGGGCACCACATATACCAGAAGACGCCTCGACCACACTGACGCGAAGAAGTCCACCTCCGGGTGCCCGAACGTCTGGCAGAGCCAACTGAATGAGTCGGCGTCGACCGTCTATTCCATGGACAGGGGAACGAACCTGGACAGGCCGTCCGCCAGGACGTTGGACACCCCACGGACGTGAACCGCCGGGATAGCCAAACCCCACCCGAACCGCGCCTCCTCATTCTTTCCTTCGGTGGTTCATTCGGTCCCCTATTTCCGGCCCCTAAGCGTCTAAGGGCTTCGGGGTTAGGGCAGGGTTTAGAGGTTTCTGAAACTCGGGTAGTTTCGGGGGTTGCCCAGTCCGGGGTGGCTGTGGAGGCATTCGAGTCTGTTCCTCCTGCCGATGCTCCGGGGTCTGACCAGTGGGTCTCTTCCCTTCTGGCTCTTTCGGCTGCCCCAGCTTTTTCTTGTGAGGCCGGGGCTTCGGAGGACGATTCGGGCCCGGGGCCTGGAGTGGAGGTTCCCGGGGTTGGGGTTGGAGCTGAATTGGGGGTCTTGGGCTCCGTTGGACATCGCCTTGATTTTCCAACCGTCTGAGCGGGGCTTACTGTTGCAAGGAGTGGGGGTTTTCTTTTCTCCCCTCTGTATACGATTTGGACTTGGGTTCTGCTCCTTCCCGAGTTCGGTTCCGTGTCCCTGTGGATTCCTTGGTTCCGTCCTTTCGGAGGTTTTCAGCTTCCCGCATCTCACTGCCTGAGGTGCGGTCGGCCATTGCGGCTTACCTCCTGAGTGACCCGGAGTATGCCTCCATAATGGATCCTCCTTCGTTCAGGTTTGGATCATCGTGTCCTTACTGGGTGCGTTATGAGGTTCTGTGGTTGTTCCGGTTTGCAAACTGCCTCTTGTTTTCGTTGGATACTTGGAACTCGTTCTGTCGGACCCGCACGTTTGAGTAGCATAAAGTGCAGACGATGGTTCAAGTTTACCTGGGGGGCGATTTTGCGCATCTTAATGAGTGTCTTTTCGCTCCTGCCCTTTTGTGGGATATTGATGCGGTTCAGCTTCATGTGCAGGTTCCTTCCCTGTCAGCTGCGCTTGTGACTGAGGTCTTACACGCTCGTGGCTTTTTAGCTTCGGTCCTGCATTTCTTTTCCCTCCTGGAACTGTCTTTGGATTGGCTTGCGGAGGATGTAGAGGCGCTTAAGGCCATTCCTGGGTCTGGCACTCTGGTCTCAGTTGCTCGTGCGTCGTCTGCTCTTTTGAAGCTGTTTGCGCCGATCTTGTGAGAGGTGTTGCTACGGTTTTTTGCTGCGCATTCTCAGGTTGTCTTCTCCTTTTTTCCTCTGCTTTTTGAGGCCTCTGCGGTTGAACGTTATATTCAGACGGCTTCTTCCACTTGCCGTTCTGTGTCTGAATTGTTGGTGCTCTGGGGGAACCGGGGGGTTCCTTCCCGGCGGGGATGTGCCAGGGCTCGCGGTTCCGTTCGTTGGGGTCGGCCACAGGTGTCAGGTTTGGTGCCGGTGCCGCCTGTGGTCCCGCCTGTGCCTGGTCGGCACAGTGTTCGTTCTGCGTACAGGTCGGGTTCTCGTAAGGGGCAGGGGCCCCTTAGCGGGGAGGCTTGCTCTGTTCGCTCACGCCTGGTTTCACAATTTGTGGGCTATTCGGGTCGTTTCTCTGGGCCTGCAGTGGCGTTGGGTGGCTTTTCCTCCTTTGGGGGGGTTTGGTGTGTGTTCAATGGTAGATGTGGATGGGGTGTGTGTTCAATGGTAGATGTGGATGGGGTGTGTGTGGAAAGCCTCGGGGATGGGTTGGATTACTTACCAATCTACAAGGTAGGTTGGAAGGTACACTATTCTTCTAGTTAAATTCAATATTTTTTAAATCAGATGAAGATTTTATAAGCTTAAATTTTGTAAATGTTACAAGTATTTTTATTAGCATTTTCTATTTGCTTTTGGGTTACAATGCTGAACCTTAGAGCTGGAGATTCATCTTAGAGGTTAGCTTTTGTAAATCAAGTTTCATAAAACATGTTAGTTTGTGAATGTTACCCAAACTAATGAATGCAATTCAAGACCCCTAAATTAGTCTAAAAACAAGAGTAAAGGGCACTTCAACTTGCAAAGTCTATGTACATAAGGAACAACTGGCCATGTACAGTACCTTCTCTTCCTTGGCACGCTGGACTTTATAAGCATTGAAGGCTTGTTTCTTCTCATTCAGTTTGTTAAAGGCTTCGTAGCGTGCATCATTCTGTATCATACGAACAGCCTTGTCCCAAGTAGCGTCACTAGGCACACCCTGTACAGCAAGCATGCATCATCATCATCATCAATAATGATCATTGTATCTTCAACATCAAAAACAGTAAATTTGTTCTTCTCTGCCAAAAATTCCAGTATTTACATTATATAATTCATTGCAACACAAAAATTGCTTTAAGCCATGTTCATGTAGGAATTCGTTCTCAGCAAATTTGTTTTCATAGAACTTGAAAACTGTGAAACTCACCTTGTCTCTGAGAAATTCTTTGAAGGCTTCTAGTGCTTCTTTCTTGTCCTTAAACACTAGCAGTTTTGGCTCTGCTACCTCCTTCACTACTTCAACTATAACAATATCAATAAGGTAAGAACAAGTACTCACGTTTAAATAATAAGCAAGACTAAAAAATCTACTTTGAAAATATGTATGTTCCTCATGCTTCTATAATATCTATAACATTCACAGTACACAGGAGATGCAATTGTCAACTGTGCCACTTTGCCAGCTGACACTTACTCTGCAGAAATGTTTATTTCTGAGTAGAAATCACTTTATTAGAATTTTGGGAACCACACGGATCAACATTATTCCTGAATTTGCACCTTTCCATTATGCTTTATGCTAGAGTTTACAGAATTGGTAGGATTTACAATAATATTATGGTACATTTTTTATGAAAACATGTAACCCTGTTTTAAGTCACTTGGACCAGATTTTCAATTAGGAAATGAGCATTTACATACACATCTTTTTTTTATAATTTTTATGGCATAGCAGGAAGTAGGTGGTGATTTAATTCTTGAAATTTAATAAAAACACATGAATTTCAAAATTTAGTTTTCTGGGGGACCCAATTATTGCTCTCTGAAGCTATCTTATCGAGATGGTTCCCAACTACTAGACTGCATCAACTGCAGAGTTCTGTTTGACCTACCAGGAACCAGAGACAAAAACTGCCACCCTTACCGAGGTGCAGAGGCAGTTGATACTCTACCACCCCACCAGGAAATCATACAGAAAGTCAAGAGAACAATACAGAACACTGCTGGGTTCATGGAGACCATGCCTCAAAGCTGCCCCAAATAACATAAACAAACAATTAAATCTCAGAACTAGCATGAGCTAGTTTACCCCTCTACCCAGCCACCAGTAGTGGGACGGGAAGAGCTCCAGGTCTCCCTAGTCCTATAACCCAGTTATATAGCTAATGCGGACATGTTTAGTGGTCCTCTGAAGGGTTCCCTTGTCATCAACAAGTCATGCAGCCCCCCCCCCCCACTGCTTCTAGTCTAAATGCCAGTCACCCTTGGCTTTTGTGTTGTGGGTGGCCATTTGCTTGTTGTTGTTCCATATTTTAGTTAACTTACGTGTGTGGTTTCTGTCTGGTTTATGTTGTGTGAGGCTAGCTTGTACGGTGCTTGAAGCTGCATGTGTTACCTTTGCGGTGTGCACTCTAGTGCTGCCCGTACACTGACAAAAGTTCTCTTCTCTGGTGTGTTTGGGAGTTCGTTCTTTAGAGGCCAGACTACTGGGGTTTGCCAGGGGTCTTTTGCCCTCTGTCTAGACCCTTGCTTGGGGAGCAAACATTTTGGCTGGTTGGGCACACACACAGCATGCCGAAGAAAGCCTTTACAGCTGTGCTGATATCAGTCTACTTATAATATTCTGGTGAGCATCCCCAGTGCCTAGGTGTCCTGTTCATTCCAAGGACAGCTTGGAATTGTGGCATGTGGCACCGATTTCTGCCTTGGTGCACACTTTGTAGGTTGATCCTCTTTCATTAGTCTGGTTCCAAGGCTTGTATTTCTCAGGTCATCAATAGTGTCATTAAGTCCAGCTAGCCTACAGTTCACCTTTGTGCCCCATTATGTTCATAAAGATGCTGTTCTCATAGTGGTCTTTGCTAACATGTCCTGGGCTGAAATTTGGGCATAGAGTTTTTTGCAGTCTAACAGTGTCTTGGTGGCCCAGTATTTAGCTAATGTTCCAGAGCCTCGTCAAGACCACGTTGCCTTGGGGTTTCTCTATTGGTCATCCATCTCTATCTTGATTGTCTCCATTCTCTCCTCTCTGGTGAGTCCTTAATTTTCCTTTTCTCCATGGGTAGTTAGCTTCTGGAAGCAACAAGGGGCTCCTCCAAAAACTCAGCAATGAATGTAATGAAATGCCACCTTCTGGATGAGTCCCAGTGGCTCCCTGATTCCCTCCCCCTCATCCAGATTTGTTAGTGGGTGTCTCTTTGCATCTACTTCAGAACTGACCTCGAAAACTGGAGCTCTGCTCCTCCATTACCAACTGCCAAGTAGTGCTAACTGAGGAAGTACTGTATTGTTAAAGAACTCGTGTTTACAATGCTTGGAGAGTTCGTTTGGCAGTTTCAAGCCTTCAGTCTCTTTGAACCCACTAGTGTGTTCTGTATTGATTTGACTTTCTGGATACTCTTCCTGTTGGGTGGTGGAGTATTAACTGTTCTTAGCACCTCTGTGAGAGAGGGCAAGGTTCTGGCACTGGTCCACAGTAGGCCAAACAGAACTCCACAGCTGATGTGATCTAGTAGGTTAGAGCCATCTCAGTGAGAGCATCAGAGTGCCACCAGAGCTCATCTAGAAAGAGGCGTTTCTTTACATTCAAAACTGGTTTTTTGATCTTCGGTTGGGATACAGTAAATACCAAAAAATCAGCACAGAATGTAATGAAATACAGCTTTCTGGTCGAAACCCAGTGGCTCCCTGAAGCTATCTTGCTGCAGTGGCTCCCTGAAGCTATCATGCTGAGATGGCTCCCCACTACAGTACTTGGTCACATCAGTTGCAGGACTCCTGTTTAACCCACTGAGAACCAAAACCAGATCCAGACCTTGGCCCACCCACCCAGAGGGACAGGAAGCTGGGAATGATTACCACCACCTCTCACTGGAAAAGCATTCATAAAGTCAATAAAGCTTGTTGGAGAAAAGAGCAGCCAACGATGCATACTAACATTGAAGAGCAGGGGTGCCATAGGCACAATCAAAGAACACTGTATAAACATCAGAGGTCCGCGGCTGTTCAACATCCTCCCAGCGAGTATAAGAAATATTGCCAGAACTACCGTGAACATCTTCAAGAGAAAATTAGATAATTTTCTCCAAGGATTGCCAGACTAACCGGGCTGTGGTGGATATGTGGGCTTGAGGGCCGCTCCAAGCAACAGCCTAGTGGACCTAGCTTAACTCCCAGAAACCCATCAAGCAGGTTAATCAACATCATGGGCTCAAGGGCAGACAGCAGGCTGGCTAGTTTTAATAACACTGCAGACAATCTGAGAAATACAAGCCTTGGAACAAGGGGACAAAGGAATCACCAAAGGTGAACCAACAAGGCATCCACCAAGGTACAACTGAAGGCATGCTGCTCCGAAAATGACTCCGAAACACTCAGTCGCTTCGGGACCAGAAGCAACAAAATTTGCACAACTCCAGAATGAAAGTGTCACTGCCCAACAGGCAGCAAGGCGGGCACAACCAGTGATTATCACCCCCTGAGACAAGGGGACAGAGCAACCTTCCGACTTTCACGAAGTAAGAGGGGACCAAGGGATCGCATCCATTGGACCACAGAGCCCCCACGGGGTTTCCCAGGGCCCCTCGTCATGGTATTCCGCTAAGGGAAGCCCAGGCAGGGTACTGCTAGCCGGAGCCCAAACTATCAAGCAAACTGTTAAAGCTGAACCCCCGGGACATGTACACTCGTGGGGGGGGGGCCTAGCAGAGGACCACAAAGTAACAATAGGGTATGACCAACCAATTGGCAGACCTCCCCCCCCCCACCAGGCAGCTAGACAAAAAGAAAAAGAAAAACCCCGCAAGAGGACAAAGTACACAGGCGGAACAGAGCCATCCACTATGTGAGGTGATAACTAGCAGCACAATACCCTGCGCCCTTACCAATGACGAAAACTATCCCCCTACCCAGAGACAAACAGGAAAACACAGAAACCCCAGCTAACTCCAAGGCAGTCAATCACTGAGCAGCAAAAAGACAGAGAAGGTAGATCCCAAAGTGACTTGTGAAAGGTGGCCCCAAGCCCCAATGGCAGCACTTACAGGGCATCTAGGAAAGGAAACCCCTAGGTGCATGCAGCCTGAGTAATGAAGAAATTACTCCTGGCTCGCACACCGACCATAGAGACAGTACCACACCACAAGGCACAGAACTAAAACAATTTGCTGGAACCAGAGGCACACAACCTTGCCAGTGTCCCATCAGCCAAGAACTGAAGCGTGGGTAGCCAGTGTGAAGGTCTTGGTTTCCCCTTCCCCCTTCCAAGGGAGGGGATGAGCAGACAGCGGCGTGGCAACATGGTGACGTCATGCCAGTTTGCTTGTTTTCATTTGGGGAGTTCTGTACACTCATTTGGATCTTTTTAGCAATGTTTTCATCAGAATAGGGGTTTGTTTTGAGGCGCTTACCTTTCTGGGTGCCTGATCCGGTCGATGGCAGCCATAGAATGCTTCCAATCACACGGGGGTTTCTATAGGCCATTGCTCCTCGTGCCTCTCTGAGGTGGCCAGGTTCTGGCTCGTGGTCCCCAGTAGGCCCAGTACTCTATGCACATTGACTGATACCAGAAATCTAATATATCCATATCAGCCTGGATAGTCTGGAGGAACAGCCTGGAGGAAAAGGAGAAGGCTGCAAACAAACTGCCCACCAGGGCCAAAAGAACTAAACTCCCACCTCCAGAAAATAGCTTGAAGCTCCTCAACTGTGCATAGTGAGGTAAGAGCCAACAACACACGACTTTGAGAAAAATATCCCTGACTGCAGGGGGAAATGGGAACTGAGGAGAGGAAAGAAATGCCAACATCTTGTCAAGAGACCAAGATGGCTCAGAAGGCACATAAACTGGTTGAAAGTGAAAGAGAGCACCTGAGAAAACTTGCAGAATACACGGATGTCCTATCAAAGCTGAACGCAACCAACTGCAGCTCTGACAACACCAAACAATAAGGTGCAACAGTATTAGACGTAAGATGCAGATCCAAAAACTATGACAAAACAGAACAGAACTCCCTGGACTGACACCGAAGAAAGACGATGAAGAGACAGAGGCGACATGAGTGCCAAGCAGCTTCCTACAGCTGCTGCAGAGAGATGCAAATAGGACACTAAAAACCCAGCTACCTGCTTGCAATACAAATGTGATAAACCTGCATCAGAAACTCTAGACATATTGATATAGAGCAGAGGAGAGGGTCTAACCAAAAAGGTACATCACTGGGCTGATCTGTTAAAAAGGCAGAGCTAGAGAAAAATGCCCGAGTTCAGAAACCAGGCCAAAAGAGCTGGAAGACAATGCTGAATTGACCACCAAGGAGCCAGAAGGATCACTTTGCCTAAGTACTACTCCAATCTGGACAGCACTCAGAGCAACAACCGAACTTGGGAAAAGAAACCCCACCTCAATTAACCAGTACAGCTGAAAGGTATCCACCTCAAGTCTTATGATTGGAAAAACAAAAAAAAATCACTTAGGAGGGAAGATGCCAGTTCTACGTCAATGCAAAGAACTGCACCTCGGGGTGCCTGAATGTCTCTCAAAGCCAATGGAAGGACGCATCTTGCACATCATGTTGTGTCTGACAGAACGACCCCAATCATCAACCATGGGAGATCTGGTAAGTGCTGGGCACAAAACCCCAAACCAGAGCTGAGGTGTCCATGAATACACTGAGTGATGAAGAAGGATGGTGACATGGGAAGGAACCCTGCAAAACTTAAAGAAGAAGTTGGTGAAGCAAGAGCAGCTGAAGGGCAGGGGTCTGAACCAGAAGTCCCGGATGCTGCTAAAAGGGCGGAACCGGAGAAACCAGTACAGCGCTCAGAACCAAAGCCTGCCCTGGGAAATACCAGGAAGACAACGTTCAGGCTCCTGCAGTCACTCAACCAGCTGATAAGTCACCCGGGGCCAGTCCAACACCGGACTGTGACAACCAGGCCTGAACCTGGAATGGAATCAACTGGGACTTCTGCCAGTTCACCAGGAACCCAAACCTGGCGAGATTGTGAATAACCAGATCTCTGGCCAGCTGACAAGCAGATTGATTGGGGCCTAAACCAGCCAGTCATTGAAGTAGTCCAACAAAGGAACCCCTAAGAGTTGGGTCACCTTTACATTACCTGGTAAACCTGGTAAAAAAAAAGGAGGCAGCAGATTCAAGCCAAAACAATAGAACCTTGAAGCAGTAAACTTGATGTTCCACAATAAAACCTGAACAGTCCCTGAGGTCCAGGGGCACCATCCAAGAATCTACCTGCAAAAATAAGCAAACCTGAGCGAAGATGGTCATGCAAAAAGTCCAACAGGAAATGTAGCTTTACAGACTGAGGATGTACTGTATATCCGCTGAGTCCCGCTTGGGGGACTGGGAACAATTGGGACATCCACCAAGGAGACAAGTTTTTCCACTAAGTCCGAGTCCAACCACATCACAATGTCCCTGCACACCTGAAGGGAGGATTCCTGTCCCACTCCAACAAGGGCTAAGGGAGACCATCCAGAAGGCCCATGTTCACCCCTTTGACAGTAATATGGGCAGATGCCTCCCCCAATGTTATTGTCAAAGGGGTGAACCGTGAAAGGTTCTGTGTGAATCACAAAAAGCACCATCTTTCCATGACACAATAGCAATGATGAGCGCAAGATGAAACTGCAGAAAGAAGAAGCATGAAGTCCCATGAATCTAACTCGATCAAGGGCTTACCCTGAGCAACAGCAGGTGACTCAATCTTACTAGACCGCCTCAAAAAAAGTGGGGAAAGAACCCCAATAAAATGACAACTGACTGATGCGCTGAAGGGTAGAAGGAACAGCCAAAAGGATCCAAGCGACAGCATCCTCAGAAAAGAGGAAAAACAAAAAAGGGCAGACAAGAGGGATAAGGACCAGCTAAACCTAAAGACTGAGCGCTGGCCAAACACAACTCTGTAGCCAACTCTGACCATGTAGTTGGGAGCCAATTTGGTGAAAGAGCTTCAGGGAGTCAGTCACTAGGGGCACCCCAGAAAATTATCATTTTTTCTTACAGAATGATAAATTTGCATGCAAAAAATTTGAAAACAAATTCTGGTAATGGAATGGAATTAAATGGAATTACCAAATGGAATTACCAATTACCAAAATGGAATTTACCAATTCTATTTTTCCAAATTTTCCAAATTCCAAATTCAAATTTACCGAATTACCAAAATGGAATTACCAAATTCTGGTAAAGGGGCCTAACTGGCCGACCCCTCACAGTGTTCAAGAGAGAACTGGATAAGCACCTCCAAAGGATACCTGATCAACCAGGCTGTGACTCATACGTCAGGCTGCGAGCAGCCGCGTCCAACAGCCTGGTTGATCAGTCCGGCAATCAGGAGGCCTGGTCGACGACCGGGCCGTGGGGACGCTAAGCCCCGGAAGCACCTCAAGGTAGCCTCAAGGTAGGTTAAGTGTACACAGAAGCCTGGTGGAGGGGTCAATGCATGCATCCGCACTAGATATGCAATTCGCTGATTCAATGCAGGAATGAGTGGGCATCAATGATCAAATTGGATGGTTTTGTATGTTTGTAGCATCACTCATTACTTTACATTATGTATTTTCTGAAGGATTGGTGTGGTAGCTATCCACTTACAAACTTGGTCTAGGTTTTTCTGTTTAAAAACCACAGATGAATTTAAAATATTTTTTTCCCCTTTGATATGGGCTTTCTTAGCTATTCATATTTAACCCATGGTCAGCAGCTTTGAAAAAATTGTCATATTATCTATGTGCAAAAAATTCCAAAAAATATTTTTTTATTATAGAATTATTAATTTGTATGCAAAATGTAAGAAAAACACAAAAATAAGTGAATACAGTATTTTTCTTTTCACTGGGTGGAGGCACTCTGTAAAGCTGCATCTGTCACTTGTCAACACCCAGTGCTCGACTGTGCTGCCACTTCCTGTTTTATCCTCAAATGTGTCACTGATTGTTTTTATCATTTTTTCCCTTTATTTACATCAAATTAGAGCTATTATATCCATATTTGCATCATACATGTAAAACTCAGACAATATTTGTTTAAAATCATACGACGATGATTGCATTCCCTTGGTAACATTCATGACGATAACCGCATTCGTAACTATGAAATGGTAACAGGATTTCTTTCAATGGTCAAGGTAAACTCCATTACATCCACATAAGCTTATTATATCCATATTTGCATCATACATGTAAAATCCAGACAATAATGGTTTAAATCATCATATGAAGATATCTGCATTACCCTGTGAATCAACAAAGGACAATCACCGCAGCCTAAGGCTTAAGGTTAAACTTGTACTTTTTATCTATTAATTAAATAAAAGTGCATTGCACCGCAGGGATTAAAGAAAAACTCAGTTCTTACCAAGCCTGAGTTTTTGTGTTAAATAACTTATGTACTTAATAATTATTATAATAACTACATCTGAACTGTATAACACACAAAATTGTCCCCTGAAACAGCTGAAGGGAAGTGTCTTGTAACCCAATCCTTTGCTGCTATTCTGTCTGGGATTCTAGTCCAGGACCCAGATTCACGAAATAGTTACACAAGTACTTACGAACATGTACATCTTTCCTCAATCTTTGACGGATTTGGTTACATTTATTAAACAGTCTACAAGCATGAAAACTCCCCAATCAACTGTTGTTATTGTTATAAACAGCCTCCTGGTGCTTTGGAGCTCATTAAATGTTTAAAAGTTGTAAACAAAACCGCCAAAGATTGAGAAAAAGTGTACAGGTTCGTAAGTGCATGCGTAACTGCTTCGTGAATCTGTCCCCCAGGAATAGATTCAAACATCGGCAGGAAAGACCAAATTGTAATGTGATGGTAATCACAAGCCACTAGTACACAACCACCTCAATGCACAGTAATCGAGTCAAAATGCTAGCAGTTATATCATAGGCATTCATTACACTCATTTAGAACTATAACAATGATAACGTCATTGGTATACAAACCAAGCAATACCAACAAAAGTTATTAATGACTGACAACAGTGGTCCAAGAGATCAACAAATGATGATGACTGCACATTGAGGGTGAAGGGTATTGAACATAGACAGACACCAAACATTTTTACATAAAAATGGCCTAAACTCTCCCTGCATTTTAAAACTGAGAGCACTTTATACGTGGGTATTACCCGAGTATAAAACCAAATAAATAAATAAAAAAAAAAAAGAATTTATGTGCAATTTTTTCTTTAAATCTACAAAAACATTACTAATAAATTAGTTGACTAATTTAAGAATTAGTAGGCAGTGAATTTGTGACAGAACACACGCTACCCATCAAGAAACATTATAGAGTACAGTATTAAAGAACTACGAACATAAATAAATGTATCACAGCACCTGGAACTATGGGCTTAACAGGTTCTTCTTTCTCCGACGGGCTCGGCTTCTTCTCAGGGACTTGAAACAAGAAAGATCTAGCATGAAGCCACTCTTTACTCTGTTACTGTTTAATGTTTATCTTTCTAGAACTCCTCCTCCTCCTCCTCCTCTGATAGGCTAGATCATAATACATGATACTCTCTATTTAATGTACATATAACATGATACACAGCTAAAAATTTCCTAAGCATAATAGAAACACATGTAAAGCAAATTATATGAAATATTACTAGTGTATATAGTTAAACTTCATTACTATATACTCTAGTAATGAGGCATAACAACAGACATTTGCAACTCACCACAAACTTCATTATCATACTCCCATCAACTCTCCCAAGAGTACATTACTGTATTGCCATTCCTCTAAAATAGTAATACAGTGGTACCTCGCATAACGAATTTAATCCGTTCCATGTTCGTCATGTGAAACGGACGTCATACAAAACGAGTGTCCCCCATGTAACCAGTGTGATGCACTGTGTTTATTGTGAAATTTCCCCATTGTGCATGACATCAAATGTTCCCCAAAATATAATTTTTCTTTGTAAAATGATAAATTACCGTCCCTGAACATGTCTATGTAAAAATAATTACCAAATTCCACTTACTTTGGCTGTGAGGGCGTGGACAAGGTGCGCTGTGACGTCATCAGGGCCTGGTCGCCCGTGTGTGAAGCTCCCAGACACGGTCACGCAGGCCATTCAAGCACAGCGTGTTGCCACAAATATATTTTCACAATTTTTTTCTATGCATTTCCAATGCGGTTTTATTTGTTTCTTTTATCGTATATGATGCATATTTGTGACCTTTACAATATGTATACAATAGAATGTTCATAATTTTCCATGAAACTGTGATACATGTGTCAGTAATGTGTCCACAATAAATGTTTATTGTCACAATATTACGTGGTAAAAATTCACTAAAATTACAATATGTACAGTTTCACATACTATTTACACAGTAACACACTGTATTACACACTCAGTACTTTGGAGGTGCGTAATAGTCAACGAAGTAGTCCATGGTACACAGCGCGACTTTGCTCTCCTTGCACCAGCTACAGATAGATTTTTGTTTCCTGTTTCATCGTTCTGTGTGCTTGCAAATAACGCACTCGCGTGCACCCTTGGCTTTAGTACTTGTAGGTGGTATGTAGCCAAGCTTGTAAAGCATAAAGTAGTATTGAAACGATTATAGGAAAAGCTCAATTTGTAAGATAGTCTTGAAAAGATCGCTTTGTAAGGTCCCACACAGGAAGAGATTCAGCTAGCCTCAAAGAGTGTCTGTCCATCAGTCAGGAAGAGATTCAGCTAGCCTCAAAGAGTGTCCATCAGTCAGGAAGAGATTCAGGTATTCTTGAAAATATCAATGAACACCACCATAATGGAAGCCGCTAACATTGTTCATCTATGCTACTTGTATCAGATGCATCATCACTGAACGCAGAAAACGATTCATCTATGTATCATCTATATACATTAGAGATGGCAAGGGTGGGGCTCAGAGCTACACCTGGATACGCTCGCTGTATCATCCTCATAGGTGCTGTATCACTGGCATCCGACCGTTGTGTTAAGCCCTTATTGCGCCTAGCTTCACCAATGTTATGACCCTTATGTTCTTCAAACAATAGGGTCTGAATTGCACCGACTGAGCACAGTCTTTCAACACCGTGTGGGACAGGTGTTTGAGAGCCAGAGGCACGTGTGCGACAAATGGTTGCTCACGCACTACTAACCCAGCCAACAGCCCTTGTCTTTCATATTCGTTATAGCAAAAGGTTCGTTCAGTGTTTGTTGGGTAGGCTGCTCCATTATGACAATCTTTCTTTGTTTCAAATGTGTTCCATTTGTTTTGTATTTGTCACTTACGTCTCAATAATGGAGCAGCCTACCCAACAAACACTGAACGAACCTTTATGACATTTGTCCATTTTTCAAATTGTTTCAACAGTTCTTTTATTTTTCGTTTTTTTTTTTTTTAAGAAACATGGAGCAGCCGACCTGTAGACCACCGAACGAACCTTTTTGACATTTGTACTGGTTTTCAAAATTCTTCATTTTTTTTATTATTTACGTTTTTTGTATGTAAGAAACATGGAGTAGCCTACCTGCCGACCACCGAACGAACCTTTTGCTATAAGACAAATGAAAAATAAATATTGAACACATTTGAAGAAAGGAAAATGTCATAATGGTTTATTCAGTGTATGTAAGGTAGGCTTCTCCATTATTGAGACGTAAATGACAAATAAAAAACAAATGGAACACATTTGAAACAAAGAAAAATTGTTATAATGGAGCAGCCTACCTGCCGAACACCGAACGAACCTTTTTGACATTTGTTGTATATCAGACATTTCATTTCTTTTTTCCTACAAAAATGTCAATGCTTTGCAACATCTCAGCAGTCACCCTTTTATATCCCAGCATCATTAGCATCTTTAAACAAGACCAACATAATATATGTGCATTGTCGGAGGCGTCTAAGAATGTGCAAGCAGCAGCACGACCCCACCGTGTGGTGTTGACGTTACTCAAACCAGCATTCGTCATACGGGACGATTTGACGCCGATCGGGCCATTCGTTACCCAAAATATTCATCTTTTGGGGCAATCGTTATGCGAGGTACCACTGTACTATGTTACCTGAGAAATTCAAATGGAGCTCTGAGGTGACTCGAACCTGCAACCGAGACACTCCCAGTCGCTCATCTTACAACTGAATCAATCTTACAAAAAGCCCTAACTTGTTAATTATACAATCTGGATTCCACTGAAACCTCTTGAAGTCTGGAGGCTTCTACTGAAGCCAGTCCAAGTTTTACGTATAACCCCAAAGCGCTCGGGTGCCAGTAAAATAGTTCATTCACTGCATGCCCCAACTTCAGATACACAATGAAATCACACTAATGTGGAATGTATCAATGAGAAAATCAACTGAAGCTCTGAACTACTTCACCAGTGCCCGAGTTCTTGAGGGGTTACAAGTAAAACATGGATTGGCTTCAGTAGACGCTTCTGGACTTGCAGAGGTTTCAGTGGAATCCTGGTTGTATAACTGTTATTAAGTTAGGGTGGTACCGTACAGTGGTAAGGTGAGCGGCTGCGAGTGCCTTCCTGTGGGTTCGAGTCACCTTAGAGCGTCCATTTAATTTTCTCATTAATATATATATCATGTTAGTGTGATTCATTTGTGTAACTATGTTACCTAGTGGTTATGTAGTAATGGTTCCCACAATCAATGTCCCCGTGGGCAGGTCTCTGACCAGGCCCTTACCCCCCCCCCCTGGCTGGTGGTCTGGTCAGCAGGCTATTGGACGTGGCTGCTCAGTCTGATGTATCATAACCTAGTTTACCCGTATCCTCTGGAGGTGTTAATCAAGTTCTCCTTTGAACACCGTGAGAGATTAGACAGTTGTGCCCCTTATGTTTAGAGGGAGTATGCTGAGTCTTGGGTGTTTTAAGTTGAAAGAGTTCTTTCTCATTGTACTTATTGTAACTGCTTTTCAACAAGGTCATTTTGTACTTCCTGCCATGCCTTCTGGTCTCATGTGGTGTTATTTCCATGTGTGGATTTGGAACCAGTCCCTATAATATTTTCCCGTGTGTAAATTATTATGTATCTCTCTCACTCACACTCTAAGGAATACAAATTTTAAACATTTTAAGCAATCCCAATAATATAATGCTATATTGACTTGATTCTAGCAATAAAAAATCTTTGCAAATTTTCCAGGTCAGCCATTTCTCTAGCTTTGAATGGCATTGCTATTGTTCAACAGTATTCCTATATAGAAAGCACTAGGAGTCTTGACGAGTGTCATCATTGGTTAGCGTGATTACTGTATTTTAAATGTCATGCAGAGCTTAGGCCTTCACAGCTGCATTGATTAGGGTGTGGTGGTCTACGTATATTATTCCCGGCACAGCATCCCTCGTGCCTGGGAGTCCTCTTTTGTAGGTCCTTCAGGCCCTGGTAATCCCAAGTCATCCACAAGCTATCTCTGCTGACCATATCAAAAGGCCTTGGTCAGGTCAACAAAGGTCATGAAGAGGTCACGATGTTGCTCTTAGCATTTTTCTTGGAGCTGGCATGCAGCAAATATCATATCGACAGTTTTGTGTGGAAGCTGCATTGGCTTTCTGGGAGGAGACCCTGCTTAAGGTGTTGAGGCAGAATCTTCCCAGAGATGGACTAGAGTGAAATACCTCGGCGATTATCGCAAGACTGACGGTTGCCTTTCCTCTTGTTGACGTGAACTATGCTGGCATCTTTTAATTGTCGTGGGACCCTTTATTTCACATGAACTGAAAGAGCTTTTGTCAGTTTCTGCATCATGGCTGGGCCTCCTGTTTTGTATATGTTGGCAGCAATACCAGACAGCCAAAGCAACTATCATCATAGGATGGTTACTATCCATTTTAGTGGAAAATATTGAAAATATTAGTGTTCAGTGGTATACTGAACTAGACATTTCCTCAGTACAATAAAGTTTGTCTGATCATAAAATTTACCAAAATTATTCTTAGTTCATTTAATTTTGTAACATTTGATATGTTGAGTGTCAATATTAATATTATTACTCAGCTTCCTAATTTTATTGGGTGGAAAGATGTTAACCTCTTAAACTTGAAGAGATTTTCATTCATTCACAATATGAGAAACTACACACTAGCAGAAACAGGCCCCACGAGACGCCAGTAAATTATCCACAGTGACATGCCACCGCTTCGAAAAGACAAGGTATAGAGTGCTTCTCCGAAGCTGTTATATACAGCATAACACACTGACTCCCTTTCATCACAAACTACCACCACTCAGCCCTGTGCCCTACCAATACAACCCATTCTCGCACTTTCGTATAGTCAATATTGACTTATTAAATACGTGCATATGTGACATAATAAACTTACTAGTTTATTTTTGAAAAGCTTCATAGAAAACACCGACCTTACCTAACCTTCTTAGTATGTTAAGATAGGTATCTTATTGCTTCGTAATTACAATTATTACTTAACCTATTATAGGTATAGGTTAAGTAATAATTGTAATTACGAAACAATAAGATGCTTATCTTAACATACTAAGAAGGTTAGGTAAGGTCGGTGTTTTCTATGAAACTTTTCAAGGTAAACTAGTATGTTTAGTATGTCACATATGCACGTATTTAATAAGTCAATATTGACTGTAAGAAAGTGCGAGAATGGGTTGATCAATACCATACACTATTTGTTGTTCCATCTCAATCTCACCATATCCACCCACTTCTTCCCAAACTTTCTTTCCTGTGCCTATACTCAAATCCACTTAAATACTTACTTTTCACCAGTAACATCATCCATTCATTCAACATGCCAAAACTATCTAGGTACTATCCTCAATCTTGAAATTGACAAACTTGTCACTAAACATCTTTGTGTGACATTTACATGTAAATGTCACACAAAAACTGTATGAAAATGATACTAAACTCTGAAACTAAATGATACTAAACAAAAACTATGAGAAAACTGTAATGCAGGATATTATGTTTTCTTAAAAAACTTATGATCCATGGGATGTAACATTGTTTGCTTGACGAATCACACACTACATTTACACCATCCAGGCACACGAAGACAGAACATATCTCTCACTACATCCAGCCCCTTTGAATAAGTATTATAACAAAGTAAACTGCATAATCCCAAGCTACTGAACATTCCAATAAACTTTCAAAAGTAGTAATACTTTAACAAATGATTGCAAATGTATGTAACCTACCTTTATCTGCAGTAGGAACTTGAATGGCAGCAAGAGTAGCAGCCATAGCTTGGTCAAGAGCAGCAGAGGTTGCCTTTTTGTCTGGTGCTGCAACAGTATTGTTCTTAGGGGCACTCCTGAAACAATATTACTATCTTGTTGAAAACAATAACTATAATACAAATGTACTAGGTATTTAACTCAAAATAATATTTAATGGTGCATATTGAAAGTACAAAAATTTCTTGTAAAATTATTACATTCCCACTTTTTTGGGGAAGTCCATCGATGGCTTCCTGTAACACTGATATTGCTCCAATCTACCAGTCATGTCAGTTGCACGAGTTCGTCTGGCCTATCAGGGACCATAGCCAAAACCCGACCTGTCACATGAGGCAGAGAGAGCAAGTGGCATTCTATCATTTCACCGGGACAGCATACAGCAAAGTTTTACAGACAACTGCTGGGTTCACAAGCCTCAAACAACTAAAATGCTAATAGCTCTCCAAACAATACAAAACTGCCAAAGAAAAACAAAACTAGCTAGAATTTGAAAGTACTAAATGCAGTTACCAGGCAGCTCAACGCTCAGTCCAGACTCAGCGCACAGATCAGTTCAATTGTTGATGCATGGCCTAGAGCAACACTATAGAGCCCCCTCTGTTACATCATCTTGCAGCAAATCCCTGAGCTTCTAAGCTAAATACTGACCATCCTAGTACTCATCCTGTGGGGTGCCTTTCTTTGTTAGTATATCATTCCATTATATTATTGCTTTGTGTGTGTGTTTTGTTGTGTGAACTTGGCTATTTATGTTATGATCTGAATGTGCTCAGCAGTTACTTCCCTGGGTGTCAGTCACGAGCACTACCTTTGTGTTCACAGAGTTCAATCTCTGGGGAATTCTGGAGTTCAACCTTTCGAGGCCAGGCCATAGGAGTGGAGTGCCTTACCTCGGGCATAACAAGGGGGGAGGGGGGGTCTTCCAGCATCTCTGTTTAGACCCTTGGTTGGGAGTGTTTATTAGGTTTTGTGGGGTGCACTTGAAACTCATGCACAATGTTATCCTGCAAGTCAGTCCTCATGCGCCATCTTGCAACATAGGTGTCTGCTTGTGATTCCAGTTTTTCTCTGGCAAGTACCCCAGTGTCTGGGAGCACCTGTCTGGTACATTACCAGCAGACCCCGTTATTCCCCCAGCAGGTCTGTAACGAGGTCAATTAAACAAAGGATGACCCACTGAACCTGTTCTTTCCAATGGTGAGTTTAAAGGCTGTTTGTCACCTTTGCTCTGTGGAAATGAACCTTCTATCTGCCTCTACCATACTTTTGGTAGAGGCAACCTTTTACGTTGATGCTTTATGACACCAAATTCTGTGGGGTTTGTTCCCCACAGGTTTTTATCTTTTAACCTGCCTCTGAAGTAGGGTTCCCAAAATCTATATTGCTTATAGTAGTGAGCAAACTATCACTTGCAAATTTATAATAAATGCCAGCTTCTTATAAAAGCAGCCCAATATGTACCATGAAGCAGCATTTCATAGCTGGCTTTTCATTTGGGCTACAAGGAGCCCATTTGGGATATTTGTAGCCCAATCTGGCTAGCCTGCCCTGAAGTAGAGGCATTTCAGGCAACTGCAGCCTTTTGGGCTTGCTTTGCCTGGTTTCACAGCTTTGCCCGCAAAGTTGAACCGTTAAATTTGGTGATTTGTATATTAGAATAATATACAAGATTATTTTCTCTATTTTTATTTCCAGTACTTCTACCACCTCATGTGTAGAGTTAAGGAGCTCCGAGCATACAAGGTCCTCGCTTATATACAAACCTACTCCTCCATGTGGCCTATTTACCCTATCACATCTATACAGATTATATTCTGGTATTCAGATCTCACTGCCCATGACTTCCCCTGCACGAATTTATGGGACTGTTCCAAATGTTGCATTTACCTGAGAGGAGGCTATTTATGAATGGCATTTTCTTTGCCTTTGTTTTTAGTCCTTGTATGTTGGCAAAGTTTAATGTTTTCCTGGGGCAAATCCCATTTGCTTTTTGATGGTCGACAATAATGTACTATTACTACTGTTAATAAAATATCCCACTAAAACAATACAAAAAATCCTCTAAATTACTTACGTATTTTCTTCTGAAGAAATTTTTGTTTTCAGATCCTCCAGCTCCTTTGGAACTGTCCAACGTGACTCCTTTGTATTTACATTGTGGTAATAAATCTTTCCACTTTCTGACTTGTATTCTTTCCATGGACACTGGGAGAGTAGCAACTGGAAAAAACAAAAACAAAATCCATATTAAATTTAAAAATATATCCAGCAATTTAATTTTTCGCCTAGGAAAATAAAAAGCCAGCGTTGAATGGAATGAAATGCCATTTTCTGGGTGTGACCCAGAGGCTCCCCAGAGATATACGGGGCTGATGTGCAAGTATTATACCGTGACAACAGTCAATGAATCGAGTTCTTAGCCTACCGGGAACCACGAGCCAGATCCTGTGCCCCCCCCCCCATCAGAGGAACGAGGAACAATGGCCTATAGACACTTCCATGTTGTTGGAAGCAGTCTATGTTGGCCATCTACCAGGTCAGGCACCCAGAAAGGTAGAAATCCCAAAACAAACTACAGCTGGTTAAAAATTGCAAACCGAAAGCTGAACAAGCAGGCAGAACTCTCCAATCAGAAAACAAGCAAACAAGCACGACATCACCACAGCCGCCGCGCTGCTGTATGAACAGCTCCCCCTCCCTGGGAGGGGAAAGGGGAAGCCCCAGACCTTCCGTGCCAGTTACCCCACCCAGTTCAGAGGCTGAATATAAATAATGTGAAAAAAAACTGACCTCCGGAAAGATGGAACCGACGCACCCGGGGGACACAGAACCGAACCTGGGGAGGGGCTGACACCAAATCCAACTTGTATGCAGAGGGGAGAAAAGAGAACCACACTCCTTGTAACAACAAGCCCCGCTCAGAGGGCAGAAAAACCCAGGCGGGGTCCAGTGGGGCCCAAGGCCTCAAAGTCAGCCCCTCCCCTGCCCCAGGATCCTCCTCCACGGGACCCGGGGCTGAGTCATCGCCCAGAGCACCGGCCTCTAAAGAAAAGGCCGGCGCAGCCGTGTAAGCAGGACGGAAGGGGGGCCACTGGTCAGACCCGGAGGCTGCGGCAGGGAGATCAGACTCGAATGCCTCCATCACCACACCGGAAGGGGCATCCCCCAAGACTGCCCGAGTCTCAAGACCGTCTAAACCCTGCCCCGACTCAAAAACCCTCAAACACATCAGCGGCCAGAAGAAGAGGGAGGGGGGGGGGGGACCGGACCAAACCACAACAGGGGAAGAACGAGGGGGTGCGGACTGAACCAAGGTCGAAGTGACCCCCACCCCCAAGTCCGGGTCACTATTAGCAAAACAGGGCAGCCTCAGGGCATCCAGGTTAGTAACCAACCGAGCGCATTGCAACAGCCTAAAGCACACATGCAAAGCCTGCACTGCCTGTACCCATAGAAGATCATTAGACTGGGTAAACTGAGTCACCAGTAAGCAACAAAACTCGCAGGACTCCGGGTCAAAAATGTCACCGACCCAACAGGCTGCATGACGGAGGCAAAATCAGTGAGTCACCCTGAGACGAGAGGACCGAGCAACTCTCGAACTCGCACGTAGCAGGAGGGGGACTCCGGGGACACATCCTTTAGACCCACGCTTCCCCTAGGGGTTTCCCAGGGTCCTGACACAGAACTAATGCTCAGGGAATCTCAGGCAGGGTACTGCTAACCGGCACCCAAAACTACCAAGCAACCTACTATAACTGAACCTCAGGGACATGTACACTCACGGGGACCTAGCAGGGGGCACCACCAGAAGAACCGTGCTCAGGCTACAAGCAGAAATGGGGAAAGCAAGACAGAACCCCCACAAGGCAAAAACAAAACCCCGCAAGAGGACAACGTACCTCAAGGAACAGAGCCGGCCGCTATGAATAGTGAAAACAAGCTGAGCAGCACCCTGTGCCCCGTACCAGTGCAACTGCCTTTTATTCTAAGGTAAACAAGGAAGACAAAACCCCCCCCCAAGCACTCAAAGGGCAGCCAGAAAACCGAGCAGTAAACCGGCCCAGCAGAGGCAGGCCCCGAAGGATTTGTGGAATTGAACCCTAAGCTCCAAAGCCAGTACTTAAAGGGCACCTAAGGACGAGAACCCTAGGCACATGCAGCCAGAGTACTGTAGAATAACTCCTGGCTCTTGCACCTCTGGAAGACGGCACCACATTCAGAGCACAGTGCTGGAATCACTGGAGCCAGAGCCCACGACCACTGCCTCTAGCATCAGCCTTAGAACTGAAGGGCAGATAGCTGGCGCGGGGGTCTGGGGCTCCCCCTTCCCCCTCCCGAGGAGGGAGGTGGAGGAGCTGCACAGACAGCGGCACGGCGATGTGTGACGTCATGTTCATTTGCTCATTTTTTTAGGGGAGTTCTATCCACTTGTTCGGCTTTTGGTAGCAAAATTTTCACCAGAACAGGGGGTTTGTTTTGGGATGCTTGCCTTTCTCGGTGCCTGACCCGGTCGATGGCAGACATAGAATGCTTCCAACCACATGGGGGCTTTCTATAGGCCATTGCTCCCCATGCCTCTCTGAGGGGGCCAGGTTCTAGCCCTTGGTCCCAGGTAGGCCCACAGAACTCCATACACATGACTGATGCCAAAGTCTGACATTAGCATATCAGTCTAGTAAGCTCCGGGAAGCCGAAGGGGCTTCCCCCAGAAAACAACCCAATTTGAAATCGAAGACAACCTACGAAGAGTCAAAAAGTGCCAAAAGGATCACCAGGAAACTTCATACTGCCGTCGAGACGAAACTCGCAGGTGGGACATCATTAACGAAACCATCTGATCACCACTTGTATGTGGTTAATCACCATATACAAGTGACGATAAACCCGCGTCAAAAAGACCAGAAGGAAGATCGGAGGAGAAGATCAAACCAGCCACATACCGGACTAGACCGCTCTGCTGAAAGAGGCGGAGCCACAGGAAGACCCTCGGGTTCAGACACCGAGCAAGCAGCACCTGAAACCAAGGCAGGGCCGGCCACCAAGGGATCAACAGGACTACTCTCCCCTCATAAATCTCCAAGTGAGCCAGGACCTGGAGCAACAACTGAACCGGGGGAAAGAGGTACAGTAAAGGATAACCCAATCTCAACCAGTCCAGTCGAAAGGCATCGACCCCGACAGCCTCGCAGTTGGGGAAGGGTGCCGCATATACCGGAAGATGCCTTGACCAAGCCGACACGAAGAAGTCAAACTCTGGGCGCCTCAACTGTCGACGTCGATGGTCCATTCCGTGGACAGGGGAATGAACCAGGACAAGCCATCCCCCAGGACATTGGACTCCCCCCCAGGATATGAACCGCGAAGAGAGCCAAGTCCCCGAGAACTCAGCAGACAAGTTACCTGAAGCGATCAGATCCAAAGAGCCAAATACCGCATTGAATCCCCTCGGTTCAGGCAATGAACCACCGGGGAACAGTCCGAATAGGGAGCCGGTCGGCCGAGCGGACAGCACGCTGGACTTGTGATCCTGTGGTCTCGGGTTTGATCCCGGGCGCCGGCGAGAAACAATGGGCAGAGTTTCTTTCACCCTATGCCCCTGTTACCTAGCAGTAAAATAGGTACTTGGGTGTTAGGCAGCTGTCACGGGCTGCTTCCTGGGGGTGGAGGCCTGGTTGAGGACCGGGCCGCGGGGACACTAAAAAAAGCCCCGAAATCATCTCAAGATAACCTCAAGATAATAAAGAGTCAAATCGTCTCCCTTCAAGGAAGGGAAAAGCTGTGCAAACAGCGGCGAGACGGATGTGGTGACGTTATGCTCGTTTGCTTGTTTTCTGATTGGGGAGTTCTGCTTGCTCGTTCGGCTTTTGGTTTAAAATTTTTAACCAGCTGTGGTTTTGGGATTCCTACCTTTCTGGGAGTCTGACCTGGCAGACATAGACTGCTTCCAACTTCATGGGGGTGTTTATAGGCCACTGCTCCTCGTGCTTCTCGGAGGCAGCCAGGTTTTGGCTCTTGAGGTTATCTTGAGATGATTTCGGGGCTTTAGTGTCTTCACGGCCCGGTCCGTGACCAGGTCTTCACCCCCAGGAAGCAGCCAGTGACAGCTGACTAACACCCAGGTACCTTTTTTACTGCTAGGTAACAGGGGCATAGGGTGAAAGAAACTCTGCCCATTGTTTCTCGCCGGCGCCTGGGATCGAACCCGGGACCACAGGATCACAAGTCCAGCGTGCTGTCTGCTCGGTCGACCGGCTCGTGGTCACTGGTAGGCTAAGATCTCCATCAATTGACTGTTGCCACGGTCTAATATATACACATCAGCCCAGAATAGTTCCGTGGAGTCGAAGGGACTCTCCACAGAAAAGTTTATTAAATATATATATTGTGCAGAAAAGGCTGAACATCTAGTATTAGGGCCACAGATAATTATCAAATATGCCTCCTTAGTTATACAAAATTTGACTTTTTTTGTTGCCACCACCAAAACATGAGAAACTGTAGGTGTAGCATACAACAGAATGCCAAGATCATACAAGTTCTTTACATGAGTTCTACCACAATCCCTCATTAGATATCATCTTCCAAAAGTTCATATAGTCCTGTCTGACTGCATTATTCTGCCCAGAGAAAGAGGAAGATTTTAGTAGGGTATTGTGAGCTAATTTAAAACTAAATATTTAATAACAATTATATATTAGAGTTTCAAGTAAATTGAATTAATCAAAGTTTACTAATTTTATCATATAAAAAAAAATCACAAAACAGGAGCCAAAGAACTCCACATGACAAAGTGTCTCACCTCAGCAGGTGTCTTCAATTCATCTGGCTTCTCCCATGATGACTGTCGTGTGACTGTATTGTAAAAATATATTCTTCCATCTGGGGCCTTGTGCTCTGTCCACACACTTTTCTTGTCCTTCGTAGGTGAACTGAAAATTTGTAGTTTTTGGTTATTATGCAACACCAATGCTAACATATTTGTTTACCTTACTATACCTCCAATACTCCATTTCTGGTCTGGTCAACCAAGCTGTTGGCTGCAGCTGCTCACATCCTTATGTATGTATCAGAGCCTAGTTGCTCAGGTACTCTTTGAAGATGTTTATTGAGTTCTATCTACTGTGAAAAATTTGCCAGTTATGCCACTTAGTGTGGAGGGAGTGTATTGACAAGTTTGGAGCACCTTGATGTTGATCAAGTTCTCTCTCAGTTTATCTATTGCACCTCTGTTTTTCAGTGAGGATATTTTGCACATCCTGCCATGCCTTCTGGTTTCATGTGGAGTTATTTATGTATGCAGATTTGGAACCAGTCACTCTAATAATTTAGCATGAAAGTAGGCTGTGATAAATATACCTTTGTTAGTAATTAAGTAATAGCTATACAAATGGGAACTCTGCCATTTATATTTCCCAGCAAAAACTCACAGGACCTTTATTTACCTGGCCTCGGGTTTAGTGGTTGCAATAGTGGTCGGAGTGGTGTTAGGGAGGGCAGGAGAAGGTGTCCCAGGCATGGCTATACTTGCAGGTGAGGCACTTGCAGAAGTAGCAGGACCTGGAGTAGTTGCTGGAGACAGTACTTGGACAGCAGCAGGAGAATTACTGGCTGGAGGGGTATTTAGCTGAGGGCCAGCAGAGATCACAGCCCCACTACCCTCACCTGAAATAAATAATCACACCCTCAACTAAATGTGCTCTATTCAGCAAGAATTTTGTTTTTAATTCAAATGACAGAAGATCAATATAACAGGAGTGTTATTCAAATACTTTAACACATGTATTTATTTTTCATAAAAAGGTAGCCCATTTGGTGGAGAAACACTATCTGAGAATCCTCCAGTCACTACCTGAGCCAAGACTTCATGGTCCACCTAGCACTCAATTCATGTTTTAGACTGTAGTTGACTTATCATTCACTATGGCAAATCTTGCTACACAGTTAGGGAAGGGAAAAATGAAACTAACTCAATCCACTAACATCCATTTGAAGCGGTTATTGGAATCGTGAGGAACACCATTATCATTATACAGTAGAGTACTATTGGTTAGTAAACTAGCCATCAGCAGGTGGCAGTACAGGTCACTACAAATAATATTGGGAAGAAAACACCAGTTCCCCCACCATCCAATGCCCTCATTTATCCAGTCCTCTCACCATCCATCCATCCAGTCCCCTCACCATCCACCCATCTTCTTGTTCTCCCAGATACAATATTCAAGTGTGATCATCACTCGGCGGATGACACTGGTAAACTGAAGTGTGGTCGCCCGTGCCACCAGGAACCATGCGCTCGGTCAACCTATACTTCTATCAACAAAGTCACAAGTCGCGGCAAAGGTCGTAAGTTGAATAGAATTTTCCTACGAAATTGAGGTTGTAACTCAAAAAAAATTTGTAAGTAGGGGGAGTTGTAAGTCGAGGTGCCACTGTATTTAAATTTCATTATATACACGTGTATTGTATTATTCACATCATAATATTCTATGATTGTATTATTCTTATATGTTATATTTCATTATGTTGTTGCGAGTGGGTGATTTCATTGTTAACACTTTCGCACTCTCGGCGCTCAAAAAAAAATAATACCCTAGATGCTTTCGGCGCTCCGCGCGCCTACGCGGTAAGACTGAAAAAGTGTACACTCTTTTTACTGTCCTGACAATAATTGAAGGCGCACGTATTTCAATTTGGTATCACTGTGTTCGCAATGAAATTGTCTATAAGAGCATACCTATAAAATTCCGCCCAAGCATAAGGACTATCAACACCAAATAAAAAACTATTCAGATCACTCGCCAAGAGCGCCAAACAGCAACAAAATGTTTCCACTCTCTTAATGGTTGCGAAGCCTACAGTTGTCCTACATCGCTAATTGTGGTATCATTGGAATCGCAATAAAATTCTCTACACGGACATATGCATATAAATATAGATTCAATGTCGTAGCCCACCCAAAACAGTGTGGGAAGTGGCCGAAGTGTTACCCGTGGCAGCATATCGGCGAAACTCGCTTTGAAAAGTGTATATTCAATTCACTGTCCTGACATTATTTGTCGATGTATGTATTTCATTTTTGTACCAATGTGCTCGCAATAGAATGTTCTATAAGAACATAAGTATTAAAGGTCACATAAGGATGCGTTCGACCGGCAACATATATAAAAACTACGTCGATTACACTCGTCGTGTCAATAGTACAATTGTTTTACCACGATGATTCACTGCCACGCCGTTTTCTTTTATAAGCTGTTCGGCTATTAGAGAAAACGTAAATTTCATGGCAAACATTTGTATACTATTCCCAAGTTGATCGGATAATAAATGGATTTTATACAAATATTTTTGCTCGTGACGCCCCCGAGGGGCACGAGTGCGGTGTGCTTAATAATATTGGTGCCGACTCACGTCTACTGGAAAGCGCAAAAGTGTTAAGTGTGTCTGGTCTGACCGGCCAACCAACCTACCTGTGTCTAAGTGAGTTTTTGCATTCGTGTGTTAACCACTGCACTGCTCTGCACTAAAATACGAAACACCCGTGGTGCGCCGAAAGTAAATTCTTTCCAAAAAATTGTTTTCTCTTCTTATACAGTATTGTTAAAATGCAGTCTCTGATCACGGGAAACTAAAAAACCAGCATTGAATGCGTTTGGGTCCGGAGCGCGTTTTGCGTTGATCCGGTTCTGTTCTTCCCGGTTCGCGGGGGATAGTGTCCCGGGTGGTCAGCCGTGTTCTTGCGGCTAAGCTGCCTGTGTTCTTCCCTCATGCCTGTGGCGTTCGTGGCTTCGCTGCTCTCGCTGCCGTCTGGGCGACGTGGCCTTGCAGTCTTTCGGGCATGGATTTTTGGTGTTCGTGCAGGGGCCTTGCTGCTCGTGGTTCTCGTGTTGTTCCCGGGATTTTCGGGGCTGTGGCGCCTTGGGTTGGCGTTTGCTGCCGGTTGTATCGCCTCCTTGGGGGGTGCGTGGGGTCCGCCTCCCGGTTCTGTCCCTTTGACCTTCCTCTGTGGGTAGTTAGCTCCGGGGAGCCGACGGGGCTCCCCCCAGAAAACCAGCGTTGAATGTAATGAAACGCCACTTTCTGGGTGAGACCCGGAGGCTCCCCGGCAACCCTCCCTCCCTCCGGTCGGCGTTTTTCGCGTGTTTTGACATCCAGCCTCAGAACTGATGGGTGGATAGCCGGCGTGGGAGGTCTGGGGCTCCCCCTTCCCCCTCCCGGGGAGGGGGGAGCTGCGCAGACAGCGGCGCGGTGACGTATGACGTCATACTAGTTTCCTTGTTTTCTGTTGAAGAGTTCTATCCACTAGTTCAGCTTTAGGTAGCAATTTTCACCAGAATAGGGGTTTGTTTTGGAATGCTTACCTTTCTGGATGCTTGACCCGGTCGATGGCAGACATAGAATGCTTCCAACCACACGGGTGTTTCTATAGGCCATTGCTCCCCTTGCCTCTCTGAGGGGGCCAGGTTCTGGCTCGTGGTCCCCGGTAGGCCCTAGAACTCCATACACATGACTGATGCCAAAGTCTGACATTAGCATATCAGCCGGTAAAGCTCCGGGGAGCCGACGGGGCTCCCCCCAGAAAAGTAGTTAGTAAAACAGCTGATTGACAGTTGAGAGGCGGGCCGAAAGAGCAAAGCTCAACCCCCGCAAACACAACTAGGTGAACATATTCGGGTTTCTCCTCCAGTAGTAGTTACGATAACCCAAAACACACTTCCAGTTAAAAAAAAATTAAAAAGGTACAACACTTAAATGTGGAATTTTGCAGATTCATAAGATTTTCAGGTCACCAAAATGGGGATTACTGAGCACGTATTATACCTGGTTACAAGCGCAAACATAACATTTTGCTCAAACTAGTGTGTAGCATTGCATTACTGTATAAGTTTAAAGTCAAAATAATGTGATCTGATAATGAATGAGAATCTGTTAGAAGGAAAAATTTGGAAAATTATAAGGTACCTAAATCCCCTGATTACAGCATGGTAAATATAAATCTTTAATCCTTCACCGAAGTTTATAAATAAACTTGAATTCTTTAATATATACCTGCAGGAGCCTGACCAAAAGAGCTCATAAATCCAGGTGGTGGGACAGTGAATGCTGGTGGTGGGAGGCCGGGCGGAGCTCCTGGGGGCATGAAACTTGGTGGTGGGAGACGAGGCATAGTAGGGCCTGGGGGTGGCATTCTGTAACCCAACGGAGGTGCACTGTAACTGGAAGGACCATTGCCACCTGGTGGCCCTCCTCCACTCTAAAACAAACAATAGAAAAAATTAACAGGCAACAAATTCCTTCATTTTGAAATACATTATTGAGTTGGCAGAAATAATTATCCTAGTTTTATATTAATATCAAATTATTAAATTGTTGTTCTAAAGTCCTACTATATTTATTAAATTGCTACACACACACACACACACACACACAGAGTCAAGTTCATCGTCTACATAAATGATCTAGCAGAAAGAATACAGCATTATATGAACATGTTTGTGGATGATGCTAATATGTTTATTGGGAAATATAGGAGACAGACAATAATAATCTTCAAATTGATCTACACACAATAAGTACTTGGAGTACCATATGCTAAATAGAATTCAATATGAATAAATGCCGGTCGATATGAATAAGGGAGCCGGTCGGCCGAGCGGACAGCACACTGGACTTGTGATCCTGTGGTCCCGGGATCGATCCCGGGCGCCGGCGAGAAACAATGGGCAGAGTTTCTTTCACCCTATGCCCCTGTTACCTAGCAGTAAAATAGGTACCTGGGTGTTAGTCAGCTGTCACGGGCTGCTTCCTGGGGGTGGAGGCCTGGTCGAGGACCGGGCCGACACTAAAGCCCCGAAATCATCTCAAGATAACTCAAGATAACCAGCGTGCTGTCCGCTCGGCCGACCGGCTCCCAGTACCTTATGGGGACTGAGCTTTTCACAATGGATGATTCAATTTTACTTTGTTGACTAACAGTTCTGTTAGGAAGTTAAAGATACATCTCCCTTCTTTGTCCTTTGACCATACACAGCACCACTTGAGCAGTGTTCATACACTAATGGATGGCTCAGAAGCCTTAAACTCTGCCATGGCATTAGGTACATTAGGGTATGTGATGAAAGGCAGTCTGCTGAGGTTACCTCATCACCATTAATCTCCACTTCAATCTACCCAACTCTATCATCATTCACCACCACCTTTTCTATCTAAATAACAATGCTCCATCAACAATAATCATCAAGTTAACACTATCGGTAACTTTGGACAGGACTTGCGTCCATTATTTTTCTCATGAGTCCTAACTTTGGACCGGACTTGCGTCCACTACAAAAAATATTTGTATAAAATTCATTTTTTATCCAATCGACCTCGGGATAGTATCAAAATAAGCGCCTTTAGATTGCGCATAATTTGATACCAAAATGAAAGCTATAACATGAAAATTGATGTCCGAACACTTGAAAGATTATAAATAGGCTTTTGGTCAAAATATTAAAATATTTGTTAAAATTCTATTTATTGTCCTATTATCTTGGGACTAGTTTTAAAATGCGCAGCTTTACGTCGCGAACAATTTGACACCAAAATGAAAGATGTAACACAAAAATTTGTCAGAACACTGGAAAAAGATATAAATAATTTTGTGATGATGAGAGTCCAGAACTAAAATATTTGTTAAAATTCCAGTTATTGCTCTATTATTATGGGACTTCTGTAGTTTTAAAATACGCGCCTTTTTATTGCGAACAATTTGATACCAAAATGAAAGACGTAACACGAAATTTGATATTATTAAATTGAACGAGTATACACATTAGGTTGCAGTGAACAAATTGGTGCTTGTTCACGGGTAACTTTAGGCTTTTCTGCGGGGAGGCACTCCAGGCTTTTGTACATTATATTCATACACATCTGTAGGGAATTTAATTGTGAACACAATGATACCAAAACGAGCAACGTAGCACGAGAATTAAGGTGAGAAAAATGGAACGACTATACACATTTATGTGTCACCGCGCGCTTACCCGCACGCTCGGTGCACGACCCTTAAGTTGACCGCACGCCTGCCCGGTGAGCGATAGTGTTAACAAGCAGCTCAGAACTTTTCATATTGGTGAGTACAAAACTAAACACTGTCTAATTTCTGCAACAAAATTATCAATTCCCCCCGTCCCCAGCTTTTCAGGAAGACGAACCACTTATCCGAACACAACAGGCTATTCATCCAGTCTTACTCCCGAGGGGTTTGGAAAGTACGCGTACTGTAACTGTATACATGGAAAATACTGTACTGGAAGGCGAGTACCAAATTTGCACAGTAAAACAGCAACATACTGAAGTGAATGACATGGAAGGAAATGCAGAATGGAGCCAGTGAAGGGTAGAGGTGCCATATGCACAATGAGAGAACACAGATATGAACATCAGAGGTCCAGTGTTGTTCAATATCCTCCCAGCAAGTATAAGAAATATTGCCAAAACAAAAGTGGATTTTAAGAGAAACTAGATAGTTTTCTGTAAGAAGTGCCAGACCAACCGGGTTGTAGTGGATATGTGGGCATGCGGGCCACCCCAAGAAACAGCTTGTTGGACCAATCTCTCTCAAGTCATATGCGAATAGAGTAGAAGATTAGTTGGGTAGGAGAACAGAATCCCCTCTAGGTACAATCCAGGTCCAGGTACTCCAAATTCAAATATATCATCACAACATTTTTTTTCCTTTTTTTTTTTTTTTTTTTTTGCATATGTGACATGACAATTTTGATGACAGCCGCTCTTTGTGGGTAATTTTTTATACTGTCATACCAAAGCAATTGAAATTTGTCACCACTGAAGGTCATTATTTTCTGCTACCAACTGGAGAATCGTGTTAATATTTAAGTGAAATCATATGGTGCAATGAGCAGAGCGCACAGGCTGGTATAATGTGCACAACTACAGTATATGTAACATGCACAAGTTTGTACATGCTGTACAAGCTGGTGTAAGGAGAATGAGGGTAGTGCAAAAAAAATACTGGTGCAGTGAGAACAAGTCTTGTAAAGAGAACATGGCTGGTGTAATGAGAACATGGCTGGTGTAATGAGAACATGGCTGGTGTAATGAGAACATGGCTGGTGTAATGAGAACATGGCTGGTATAATGAGAACATGGCTGGTGTAATGAGAACATGGCTGGTGTAATGAGAACATGGCTGGTGTAATGAGAACATGGCTGGTGTAATGAGAACATGGCTGGTATAATGAGAACATGGCTGGTGTAATGAGAACATGGCTGGTATAATGAGAACATGGCTGGTGTAATGAGAACATGGCTGGTATAATGAGAACATGGCTGGTATAATGAGAACATGGCTGGTATAATGAGAACATGGCTGGTATAATGAGAACATGGCTGGTGTAATGAGAACATGGCTGGTGTAATGAGAACATGGCTGGTATAATGAGAACATGGCTGGTATAATGAGAACATGGCTGGTATAATGAGAACATGGCTGGTGTAATGAGAACATGGCTGGTATAATGAGAACATGGCTGGTGTAATGAGAACATGGCTGGTATAATGAGAACATGGCTGGTATAATGAGAACATGGCTGGTATAATGAGAACATGGCTGGTATAATGAGAACATGGCTGGTGTGCTCATGTGAAGTGCAATTGTGTGTTTAGCTAGTGACTGTGATTGTTGTTGTGATCAACAATGGCACACATCATGACCTCACCTCAAGTCCTGCACGAGCTCTGCCTGCAGCTTAGAGCAGAGATTGGCAGGCTAAGGGAGCAGATGAAACGTCTAATGGAGTGCAAGGACGTAAAGCAGAAGGATACCCAGTAGAATAGTTGGAGAGTGGTGGGTAAACTAGGAGCTAGCACCACACCGAAGGACGAGAATTAATCATCAGGAAGGCAGTGGTTGAGACGTCGAACCACTTCTCTGTTTTACAGGAAGAGAACTTGAGCAGGATCCAAGAGAACTTTAGCAGGAACCCAGAGGAGAACTTGAGCGGGAACCCTGTAAGCAGGAAAGCTGTACAGCATAACAAAAAAGATAGGAGGAAATTGGTTGTTGGGGATTAGCAAATGCACTATATGGATAGAGCCTTCTGCTCCTATGGATAGAGCCTTCTGCTCCTATGGATAGAGCCTTCTGCTCCTATGGATAGAGCCTTCTGCTCCAGGAATGCAAGAAATAGACTATGTGTATGTTTTCTGGGGGGGGGGCAAAAGTTGAAAATATAGTGGACAGAATGAGCAATATACTGTAGATGGAAAGAATATTTGTTGAGGTACAAGCAAAGAGTTGTTGGATAAAAATGTAGTGGTAGTAGATATGATTAGGAATAAGGAAGGAATAAGGTCATGCATGGTGTTCTACCAAAGTTGAGAGTTGGTGTTAACCAACGACTTGAAAAATATTGCATGAGTAATGCAATACCTTTCAGGAACACCTGGGACTCTTACACTGGCAAGAAAACCATGTATGAAGACGTTCATCTTTCAAGGGATACGGTCTGCAGCTATGTGCTGACTCATTACATAAAAATGTGTAAAACTTTAAATATAGTAGACAGAGGAATAGTTGTATATAATGAGAAAATTCCAATACTGATGGCTTAAAAAAAATGGAAAACAGGATTGAATGTAATGAAATGTCCCTTTCTGGTGGGTCGTTGGTGGTTTCCTGTTGCTAATCACCTAGAAAGCTCTACACATAAAACAGATTTAAACACAGATGCCGAAGAAATATAAGAAAATTCACCTTCGCAAATAGAGTGGTAGACGGTTGGAACAAGTTAAGTGAGAAGGTGGTGGAGGCCAAGACCGTCAGTAGTTTCAAAGCGTTATATGACAAAGAGTGCTGGGTAGACGGGACACCACGAGCGTAGCTCTCATCCTGTAACTACACTTAGGAAATTACACTTAGGTAATTACATAAGAAATCTCAACAGGCCATTTTGAGTTGTGAATAGCCTACTGGAGATCAGAGTCCAAAACTTGAGGGAGAGAGCAGAGGAAACCAAGACAATTGCCTTCAGAGAGGTAGAGCATGACAAAACAAACAGCAAGGTAAGAGCAAACAAAAACAGAAAATAAGACACACAGTAGATGGGTAGGTGATCTGCTAGTTTCAATTCACCAGCACCATGTGGCAGCACTGGGAGCTACTGGCTCAACCAACACAACCTTCCTGTTATGAGCCAACCAAACACACCTGAAGGTGGAAGGAAGAGTCCAGGGTGCCACTGAGAATCCACTAGAAAGAGGGAATTCACTACATTAAAAGCTGGTTTTCCAGGGGGGCCTCACAGTCACTTCCTTAGTCCTATTTCACCACAGAAAACAAAAATGTAAGGGCAACTAGCAAGGGGTGGAGGAAAGCAGGTATAGAAATTCTGACAATCTAGCGGACCAAGCTCCAAATGTCGGGACACACTGAACTTAAGAACAAAGGTAACTGCAGAAGGCCTATTCGCCCATACGTGGCAGCTCCTATTTATAGCCCTGGCCAAAGGAAAGCTCGCTGACCAGCCAACAGAAGAATTCAGCACAAGAACCAAGACAACCAAGCCCCAGGAACAGGGAAAATGGAACACAAATAGAATCCAACAAAAGAACACAAACCGAAGGGAAACAGACAACACAAACACCTAGAACTTCACACATTAGTTTTGTGAAATATATGATAAAGGCACAAAAAAATTTATACCAAAACAGAGATGCAGAACTAGGAAACAGGATTGGTTCAATAGAAATTGCGAGAGGGCTAGAGACCGAAAGACACAAAAATGGAATCAATACAGGAAGAGGCCGAACCCCCAAACATACCAGCGATACAAAGATGCGAGAAACAACTACACGGCAGTGAGGAGAGAGGCAGAAAGAAATTTTGAAAAAGGGATTGCGGACAAATGTAAAACAGAACCAGGTCTATTCTATAAATTCATAAACAACAAATTGCAGGTAAAGGATAATATTCAGAGGTTGAAAATGGGAAATAGATTCACAGAAGATGAAAAGGAAATGTGTGAAACACTAAACGAAAAGTTCCAAAGTGTGTTTGTACAAAATGAAATCTTTAGGGAACCAGATACAATAAGAATTCCAGAGAACAACATAGAACACATAGAGGTGTCTAGAGACGAAGTGGAAAAAATGCTCAAGGAGCTCGGTAAGAACAAAGCAGCTGGCCCAGATGGCGTTTCACCATGGGTTCTGAGAGAATGTGCATCTGAGCTCAGCATTCCACTTCACCTGATCTTTCAGGCATCCCTGTGTACAGGAATCGTAGCAGACGGGTGGAAACAGGCTAACATAGTTCCAATCTACAAAAGTGGCAGCAGGGAAGACCCCCTCAATTATAGACCTGTATCATTGACAAGTGTAATAGTGAAAGTATTGGAAAAACTAATCAAAACTAAATGGGTAGAACACCTAGAGAGAAATGATATAATATCAGACAGACAGTATGGTTTTCGATCTGGAAGATCCTGTGTATCGAATTTACTCAGTTTCTATGATCGAGCCACAGAGATATTACAGGAAAGAGATGGTTGGGTTGACTGCATCTATCTGGACCTAAAAAAGGCTTTCGACAGAGTTCCACATAAGAGGTTGTTCTGGAAACTGGAAAATATTGGAGGGGTGACAGGTAAGCTTCTATCATGGATGAAAAATTTTCTGACTGATAGAAAAATGAGGGCAGTAATCAGAGGCAATGTATCGGAATGGAGAAATGTCACAAGTGGAGTACCACAGGGTTCAGTTCTTGCACCAGTGATGTTTATTGTGTACATAAATGATCTACCAGTTGGTATACAGAATTATATGAACATGTTTGCTGATGATGCTAAGATAATAGGAAGGATAAGGAATTTAGATGACTGTCATGCCCTTCAAGAAGACCTGGACAAAATAAGTATATGGAGCACCACTTGGCAAATGGAATTTAATGTTAATAAATGTCATGTTATGGAATGTGGAATAGGAGAACATAGACCCCACACAACCTATATATTATGTGAGAAATCTTTAAAGAATTCTGATAAAGAAAGAGATCTAGGAGTGGTTCTAGATAGAAAACTATCACCTGAGGACCACATAAAGAATATTGTGCAAGGAGCCTATGCTATGCTTTCTAACTTCAGAATTGCATTTAAATACATGGATGGCGATATTCTAAAGAAATTGTTCATGACTTTTGTTAGGCCAAAGCTAGAATATGCAGCTGTTGTGTGGTGCCCATATCTTAAGAAGCACATCAACAAAATGGAAAAGGTGCAAAGACATGCTACTAAGTGGCTCCCAGAACTGAAGGGCAAGAGCTACGAGGAGAGGTTAGAAGCATTAAATATGCCAAAACTAGAAGACAGAAGAAAAAGAGGTGATATGATCACTACATACAAAATAGTAACAGGAATTGATAAAATCGACAGGGAAGACTTCCTGAGACCTGGAATTTCAAGAACAAGAGGTCATAGATTTAAACTAGCTAAACACAGATGCCGAAGAAATATAAGAAAATTCACCTTCGCAAATAGAGTGGTAGACGGTTGGAACAAGTTAAGTGAGAAGGTGGTGGAGGCCAAGACCGTCAGTAGTTTCAAAGCGTTATATGACAAAGAGTGCTGGGAAGACGGGACACCACGAGCGTAGCTCTCATCCTGTAACTACACTTAGGTAATTACACTTAGGTAGTTACATAAAACAAGCCACATGTAAAGGATAAAATCCAGAGATTCAGAATGGGGAACAGACTCGAACAGACTCACAGAAAATGAACAAGAAATGTGTGAAACATTAAATGATCAGTTGTTAGTGCAAAATGAAGTTTTCAGAGAACCAAACAATGCCAATTCCAGAGAACACCATAGAGTACATACAGGTGTCTTAAGATGAAGTAGAAAAATTAGTCATGGAGCTGGGAAGAAATAAAGCAGTTGGACCAGATGGAGCTTCACCTTGGGTGTTCAAAGAATGTGCAACTGAGCTGAACATTCCACTTCAATTGATATTCCAAACATCTTTGTGCGCTGGAAAATTAGCAGATACAGTATATGGAAAAAGGTAAACATTGTTCCAATCAACAAAAATGGTCATATAATTCTGTATTCCTTCAGGCAGATCATTTATGAAGATATGAACATTACTGTAACCACGCGATTATCCGGGATTCGAACATCCGGAAAACGCCCTTATACGGCCAAAATCGTAAACGGATAAAGTTATCACAATATCCAGCCAAAATGGCCATGGGAGCCAGATAAAAGCTGGTTTAGCCGGATAAAAATTTGGCCGTACCATATTAATCCCGTCTGTCTGTGGCTCTAGACGCATGGTGGAGGAGGGGGTGGGGGTGAGTGGGAGGGGAACGTCGGGAGGGACCACCTGGGTACAGGAATTACCATTAATTTTAGAACAATTAATCATAGCCAAAAACAAATGAAATAAGTACTAGTAATTATGTAATAACAAATAAGTTTCCTAAAAGCAATGTGCACAGGCTGAAGTTTCCTTAAAAAATATTGTGAGTTTTTTCCCTCCTGGCGGCCTACGTAACGCGCTATAGCTGCCCCAAGTGGACCCGTCCAACACTGGTCAACCCATGTGCTCCCATCCCTCGTGTTATACACAGTGCTGCACCATTAGTGAAATATTTTTTCAAATAACTTTTTTATTTTCATAGTAACTTTGAACATTTTTGGCCAAGACTATGTCTGGTAGCAACATCAATTGTCCTGGAGGTTTTAAGAGGAAGAAGGTTATCCTAGCAATTAAAGACAAGTTACGTGTTGTTCAACCAGTGAGGCGTCACAGGCAGCCAAATGCCTTCAACAAGTGAGGCGCCACAGGCAAGCCATGCACCTTCAACAAGTGAGGCGCAAGCAAGCGCCTTCAACAAGTGAGGCTTCACAGGCAAGCCAACCGCCTTCAACAAGTGAGGCGTCACAGGCAAGCCAAGCCCCTTCAACAAGTGAGGTGTCACAGGCAAGCCAAGCGCCTTCAACAAGTGAG